TCTGTGTAAGAATCATAGTGCTTCAATTTTTGGGGTTTTTTTGAAGATAAATAGACTCATGCAACCTCTCCAAGCTAAAACACATACAAAACTTTTCTTCAAATAAAAATGCTATTTATAGGATTAAATTGTTAAACTTCCATGGTCCAATCTTGAATTCTGCTTGCCTAGCAACAAATAAAATATAAACAAAAACCAATAATCCATCTCCATCTGATGATGCTCCTGAGAGCATCACAACCCCAGGATGCAAAGGGGCTGCTCAGGCAGTGAACACAAGAAATAGCACATGTTTTTGGAGGTTGTTTTCTCTGCATCTGTCTTATGTTTATTTTAATTTGCTGTGCATTTCATGAGCTGTGAGCCAAGTAATGGACTAATTGTAAGCATGTAGCGTATCTTCAAAGACTTGTCCTTTTCTGAAAGAATTTGTTTTTCTTTTCTTCTCTTATTTCAGCACATCAGTACCAAGATGTGCTTAGTAAGTTTATATGCAGCAAGCATTATGCCAAAGTTTTCTTTTCATGATTTATTGCAGGGGTGGGGGCCTCATTTTATGATTTAAGGTGGTATTTGTCATGATATATAGAGCTGGAGAAAGCAAAACAGAAAATATTCCATAACCAGTAAAGTGAGACAAATACTCTTTGTAGACAATTAATCAACAGTGACTTACAAGCTAGATTGCTAAATTCAGCACCATAACTGTGAATTTTTTGATGGGGGCAGAATTATTCTAGGCAACCGCTTGTTTTCTTTTTCCACAGTGGTTTGCTGTTTGTTTGTTAGTTTAGTTTAATGTGTTCATTGCCGTTTTCTTCATTGCTGTTGCTAGGTGGACCGCCAGTCCCAGTTTATCCAGGGCTACCGCGTCCTGTATCGCCAGACCTCGGGGCTGCCTGCCCCAGCCCTGTGGCAGAACCTGGAGGTCAAAGTCCCCACCGAGCGCAGCGCCGTCCTCGTCAGCCTGAAAAAGGGCGTCACCTATGAAATCAAGGTTCGCCCCTACTTCAACGAGTTCCAAGGCATGGACAGTGAATCCAAGTCTGCTCGTACCACAGAGGAAGGTTGGTAAAAGGGGCACAAAAGCAACGAGCTTTCATAGCTGACACTGGACGTTATTCTGTGTGTGCACATGTTCATCTCTATTTCCTCTACGTGATTTCGGTTTGTTACACACCAAGGTGGTTGAAATTTAATATAATGTTGAGCTTTGTGCTGTAAATATCCCCTGAGAAAGTGCTGTACTGGTCTTATCTTCTTCTAGCTGATACATCCTTCTAAGTTACAGGTGGCTTTTGGTCTTCCAAAAAGTGTGCACTGCAGCCCTTCTTTTGTAACCACTGCTGTTGCAATAAAAGACCTTGGTCTGCACTTTGAAAATAAAATCATCTCACAGATGAATGTTTGATACTAAGCACATCCTTCTGAATGAGTAATAATGCAGATGAACAGTTGGCTGGGAAACGAGGAGTAGTGAAGGACATATATTTAACTAGTCTAGAGAAACTCCAGTCTCAAGGGCACACCACTTCACAGTTTCTGTTAGCACAGTGTTCATGAAATTGCCCTGTTCAGTACTGCAGAGGATTCCCCTGAGCACCTTTGAAGCCTCTCTGAAACAGTCACGATTCAGACAGAGGGAACAGTTTATACTTCTGAAATGCTCAATCTTTTATTTCTATGGCATATAGTCTTGTATATAGTTGTGCTAAAGCATGTGCACTCCAGGGCTGCCGGGTTTTTTTTTTTGAAAAGTAAAGACACTGGGGTAAGATGCAAGTCATTTTAATAATTTGCTATTAGAAACCGCCTTTCTGCCTATGTAATGCAGTCTTTGCCTGGAGAATCTCTCCTGTAAAAGTAAGATGGTCCTAACAGTGAGGGTTCATCTTCTCTCTATGTCACTGATTTTTTTATTTTTTTTAAGTGAGAGAAAGAAATACTGGTGAAGTTTTAAGATGTTCATATGGTTTCAATGGGTTTTGAGTGCACTTTTTCCTTCCTATTGAAAGTGCATCTTAATCATTTACAGTAGTCTCCTGAGGTTTAATTTAGTGCTGATTGCCAAGTACTCTTTAATTCTAGAACAGACTTGCTTATTACTCACTTTTCTCTTTGATTTGTTATGATTATTAGCCAACATGGAAGTAAAACTGAAGATAACTTGGTTGCACTTTGCACTTTATGGATAAGGAAATTCAGTGTCCTGCAATATGTAGAAGAGTGTGCAGGGAGGCAGTTTTCAAGTCTGATTTGGAATTTGGGATTTTATGTTCCCCAGTTCTTTGTTCAAACTACAAAGCCTATATCAGTTGGTGAAGAATATGTTTGCAGCACTCTGAACAAAGGTTTTATTTCATAAAGAAGAGAGATTTTATAATATTTCTACAAGTGAATTTTCTTTTCTGGGGTTAAAATGTGGGATTTTGTCCTCTCACTATCAGATTTTCCTCTTGTCCAATTTCAATTGACTTTTGGTGTTTATTTAGTTCATCTAACTGTTTCTTGCTAAAGGTAAATTACTAACTACTGAAAAAGAGATAAGGTTTTATACCTCCTGTCTATTTCTATAAAATACTTGAGGAATGACATTCTCCTTTATAAACCTTAGCTCCCAGCAGAGTCTGTCAGGTAATTTCCTACCCTAAAGGACACTTTGTTCATGTGGAATTCCACTATGTGGAATAGCTTTCCACATAGTGAAGATTTTAAAAAAATATTCCTGCCTGCAGATATGTATAACTCACAGCCTAGGATCTGCTTTGTAGATTAATATAACCTTCAAGGAGTCTGTTTACAAGTATCTCCTCTCAAAAACGTCGGCATAGGACCCGTAATATTATCACCAGAAAAATGTCAGCTACTGTAAAAAAATTCTTCCTCTTCCTTGGAAGATAAAATTAGGTACTTCCATGAGAAAATTAAGACATTCAGGAGATGCAATTTTACCCATATTTCCTTTATTTCCTCATATTATCTTTGTAATTATATTGGGTTCATGTATTTCAAAAATAGTATCAACTAAGTGTTTAATGACAGTGGTTTCCTCCCCTTCCACTGAAGAAATATGGCAGTCTTTTAAAGGTGCTGTGTTGCTTGGGATTCCATTTCAAAAATGAGCTTTTTTTTAGACTTGACTTTAAAAAATGTCAGCTATACTATTTTTAGAAAATAATTTGGAAAAGTGATATGAGTGTTGGAAGTTTTTTTGAAACATGAAAGCAAATATCCCTGGTAAAGGCAAAGTATGACCGAAAGGTAGTGGCAGCTTTCTGCTGGATTGTATTTTACATGCCATGTTACTTCCGAGGCCTACCTCTAAAAATCAATTTTGCTGCAGTTGGACTTTTCCTCTAGATCAGACATTTGTCACTGTTCAGTATCCATCCATCTCCTGCCTCTTTGGCCTTGTGAAGGTAACAAATGGAATTCTGTTTGGCTGTGTCTGGAAAAGATGAGCAGCGATTTGGGTTCTTTCATATCTGTAAGAAGAAGCTCAGCACTGGAATAATTGACCTGTCAAGAAGCAGGCAAGGTGTTCTCCACAAGCCAGCAGCAAGGGAAATGAGAAAACGGTTTTAAAAATGTTATTTTTCAATGTGATCTGTTTAATAACTGCAGCAGTGTCAGACGAGTGGCTTAATTTATATCACGATGCCAGCTTACAGAGTGATATTTTCAGAGGGAGGTGGCTTGGTTGGTGCATGCGTGTGTGTGCATGCTTTGTGTGGTAACTCAATGATTTTTTTTTTTTTTTTTTTTTCTTTCTTTCTTTCTTTCTTTCTCTAGAGATTTTTTTTTTTTTTCTCTGTTGCATCCACTGTTAAATCTCCTTTGGAATAACATTGTGGAGCAGTACTTGTCCTGCATCTTGTTTGTCATCACAAAAATATGACAGAAATGGAAGTCTCCTTAGCTTTTATCAGCTCCTCTCTGTCAGTATCTCCTCACCTTAATGCAGCTCTTAAAACAATATTTCCACAGCTGCATTCATTAGCTGTAATTTTAATTTTGCTTGATTTATCCTATGTCCCCAAAAAACCTCAGCAACACCAACACACACAGGTAGAATATTAACTAGAATGTTCATGCAGTTTAAATGAAAAGACAAATAAATACAGGTGGCTTTTTTTTTTTAATTTTAGAGTATGCTATTCATTTTACATTTATTTTGCATTTACACTCTCCTGTCTCCCCAGGTATGCATATATAGGACATTATATTTCTGAATGCCCTTTTTGTTTCAGTGAGGAAAGTAAATATTTTTGAGCAAGTTGTTGCATTGTACTTAAAACCAAAAATGAGTTATACAATGTTAAGCTTTGCCATTTTTATGATAATTATTTTCACGTAAAATATTCTAATTAATATCACACACATACGTTTATTCACAGTTTTATTGTTATTGAATAACTTGAAGACTTTTAAAATGCTAATTTTTTACTGTGTGGCAAATTATTTCACATGCCATAAAATACACAATGCAACTATTTATTTCACCAAGTTTATGCTTTGCACGATTGCAAGGAGTAGCCCAAGGCCACCTTTCCATGCTTCACTCGAGCTGGCTGAAAGTCAAATTGTCCACAATACAGCTCCATTTCTCCCCTCCAGTTCACTGTTTCTCTGCACCAGGCAAGGTCACAAGGACTCTACCAAGCATTATTAGCTTTGCAGCTGAACCAGCATCTGAAAATGTAGTTGTCAAAATGTGAAGCCTCCCAGGACTGTAATATGTGTTTCATTTTTCATCTAAAATATTTTTATTTCTGCTGTAATCTTGTATGGTTCCTTGTCCTCACCTCTGGTACCTTAGTTTGAAGTTGTGTGATTCTTTCAGCAGAGCACTCCAATTTTTCAGGGTTATCAGGGTAAAGATTTGAGCTCAGCTCCATGAGCCTGTGCCAGGTCAAGTGTGAGGAGCTTCCAACATGGGAACACAGCCAGCCTTGAAGAATCTGTGGAGAACAATAGAAATATCTGACTTGACTCAGGAGGTTTGAACACTTCTGATATCTGTAGCTGTGCTTATTTGTGTTAAACCTGCCAGAATTTAATACAAAGATGCCAGGGGCTCTTGGCTTTTCTGAGAAGCACGTTCCATGGATGGGCATGAATATCTGTTAAAGATAAGACTGGAGTTCTGTTGCCATAAAGTGTAGCAGTGAAGTCACTCTGATCAGGGGCTGGAGTCAGGAAACTTTGACACATGATGTGAGATGCCCCAAACCACATTGTTATCAAGGTTTTAAGTTGGAGCAGCAGAGTGATAAATATTTTCGTTTCTGGTATGATGTCTACCATTAGTCTTCAAAATCAACTTTCATATTTCAGATGAATTGTTTTAAGATCAGTTTAAAAGCAATGAAAAATATGTGGAAGAAAAATTCCATACGCATTTATTAAACACAAAGACACCTCCCTAGAAGAGAAGGTGTCTAAGCAACAGCCTCCTGTGAACTGGAAAATTGTCCTGGGGAGATGTCACTCCATGCTTGCTTTATTAGTTCACACTTTTCTGGCCTCTTTCTATTAGTTTTGTTGAGGACTGGGTAGATGGACTGGGAGAAATGGAATAACTAAATTCTAGGACCAGTTCCAAGCAGCTGCTATCCATCAGCTTTTCCCCCCAGGGACTATACCTTAATATAATGCAGTCAACCTCTGTGGCCTAGCTTGCCACTGTGGTGGAATTTCAACCCTTGCCTGGGAGCAAGGGAAGGATGAGAAGGGCTGCAAGCAGTTTTAGGTGTCTGAGCAGGGCCATATTGATAGTCCTCTGCCCTGGCAGCCACAGCCATGCTAGGAAATCCCAGTATGGATATAGGAGATGCTCACAGAGGAGACCTTTCCATAGCAGAGCTCCTGCATCACTTCTCTGAGCCACCAGAAGCACCCTGCTGCTGGTGTAGCTGCAAGAGGGACTTTGCCAGCATAGCTCTGGTCACTAATAATGATGATTTTTAACTTTTTTTTTCACCCTTCTAGACAACAAGCAGGGCTGGCAGGCAGTTGTGGAATTGGCCTTGATATGCAGTGACCAGCCAAACAGCTGTGAATAGTTGAACTGAACATGACTCTGAAGGGAAAGCAATTTGCCTAGGGGCAGAAAAGGATAGAAGTGTATATGTGATCTAACTTAGCACCTGCTCTATTCACTGGTTTTTGATGTAAAGCCATGAACATTTTAAGCCTTTTCCAGTTTGGACATGCAAGTTCTATGTTTAAACCTGGTATTGTCTTCCTGCAGAGCAAACAAAAAAGGGTCATTAAGTATTGGCTGCTCACATCATTATTAGACCATGTAAAAATAGAAGAACCAAAACAGTTTTCAGGCCAGGTGAAGCAACCTCACATGTGACTTAGTTGATATATCCATAGTTATGCATGCATATTATGGAAAACAAAGGCAATTATGAGAACAGTTCCAATGCAAACTTAAGAAATGTCAAATATAAATAAATGGGTAGTGATTTCTATTGATTCTTCATTGCCACAAATTCCACATTGTCATTCATCCCTATGCTTCTCTTCAGAAGGGCATTTTTGAACAGTCAGTGACTGACAAAAGTTCATGCCTTGCAGTGTGAGTTTTCTGTATTGTCTTCTTGTTCTTGCACTGCTTCAGTGAATTCCATGCCCAAGCAAATGGATTAATGCCTTGCTTCTGTTTGCTCCCTCTCCTTGGTGTAGCTCCAAGTGCTCCTCCTCAGTCTGTCACTGTCCTGACAGTTGGGAATCACAACAGCACAAGCATCAGCATCTCGTGGGATCCTCCCCCTCCAGATCACCAAAATGGAGTCATCCAGGAGTACAAGGTACACACAATGTCTGATGGGAGGGTTGTGTGTTTAGGGAAACAGCCTGCTTGAATTACAGAACAATAGCACTGTTTATGGATTTAGATTCTGACAGCATTTACAGCTGCCCATATAATTATATGGAGAAGGAAGACTGACTGCTTATGGATTTTATTATTATTATTAATACTATTACTACTGTTATATTAAGAAGCAAAAACATAATGAGCTTGATATGAAAAGAGAGCTGTAATTTCTAGGTAGTTACAGTTCTTTCTAGCTTTTCCTTGCTGTAGAAAAAGAAGAGGGGATATTTTTTGTAAGAGGCTTCTGCACTCCAAAGACAGGCAGTGAAATCCCTGTCTTGAGTACCTTCAATCTATCAGCAAAGCTGGCAGGAGAGTTGTTTCTTATTTCTCTGCAAAAATGCTTATCCTAACGTTTCAAGGTCAAAGGACTGTGATTCTGGGAGAATTCAAGACTTCTTCCAAGTACTATCTCTGTCAAGCTTCAGAACTTAAATGCCGGGTTGTTAGCTCTGAAAAACAGGTTGAACACAGCTAGTATATCCAAAGTTTGCTACATTAGAGTTTCTTGCATTGGTTGTATTTTCTTCCTTTTTTTTTTTTTTTTTTTTTTTTTTTTTTTTTTTTTTTTTTTTTTTTTTTTTTTTTTTTTTTTTTTTTTGGCTCAAAATATCCACTCCTTATACATTAAATGTTGTTGTAGTCTGTAATTTCATACTAAGATCACTTTTGCACAGGGGTATTTTCACAACATTAAAAAAATACACTCTGTTATTCAGGTGGAGTAAACGATTGGGTGAGGTTTGGCTTTGTCACAGCATGGAGCACAGTTTGGTAAATTAACCTTGCTGTGGCTGGCCTATATATACCAAGTGTGAAATGTTTGAGATGGATCAGGGCAGCTTTCCTGACAGTCCCACAAAGGGTGGAAGTGGTGACTGCAGCTTTTTTCACATAAAAAGATTTTTTTTTTCCCCTGCTGTATCTTGAGGGAACACAGCATGAAGAAGGGAGAAAGTGCTTGGCTTCTAAATCAAATAATGGTTCAACCTCTTCCAGCTTTTCACTTGGTCAGAGGGATGCAGTAAATGTTCACAATGTTTATGTTTAGCATAACGTTTCTTTTGTTTTGCTTTTAGTCAATATCAAGATTTATTAATGCCAGGATTTTATTGATCCAGTTTTCATATCAATTAATAATTATCCTTTGGCTTAATTAATCTTGATCCCGACTCCAATATAAATCAATATAAACCATCCAGGGCTTATAGGCAAACGAGTAAAGCACACTCCTAAACCACAAAGCATGTAGATATGAAACAAAGTGGGCTGATGGCTAATAAAAGCCATGTTCCAGGTGAGTGCTCAGGCCTCTGGGCTGTGTATAAAACCAGCTGGAGTCACTACCTATTACAGCCCTCCAGCGTTAGATTAGGTGGCTGCCTGAGTAGTGAACTGGCTCCAGTGAATGGTGCAGAGAGTCTAGTATTTACTTGAGAGTCTAATAACAGTGCAGAGAGTCTAGTGTTTTACAGTATAAAATAATTGGTGAAGTTCCACAGTGCATTTTCTAACAAATTGAAAGTAGATCTGTTGATTCCACTTCGAACATCAGAATGCCTGTTAATTTATTCATTAATTAAATGTTTTTAATTAGGGGCATCTCATAGCTGTTGTAACCTAAGACCAGGACTGACAAGGAGTGAAGGAATGTATGCAAAGTTACTCACCTTAATGCAATCTGGCTGGATTGCATAGGATCACCTTAGGTTTAGGAAAACAAAATAATTTTTTTCCTCTTCAAATCTTTCTCAGCATTTCACAGGAAAAAAATATAAGGTATGGTAAAACACTGAGCAGGGTCAAAGTAAGTGTAAAGATTTTATTGCTGTTGCTTAGATGCATTAGTTTGTCACTGAAGTGGTTCCACCAATAGTGTTTCTTTCTGCTGTTATTTTTATGTAAGTGTACCTGTTTATGCATTGATTTTCTTGTGTGGTAGTAGATGCTTTCTTTAGTAATACAGAAGCAGTATTTGCAGGTAGCATTAACTGAAGAAACATGCTTAGAAGTTAGTTCAAAACCTCTTTGGAGAATACTATAAAAAATGCAAGAGGGAGACATAACACTGAACTCTTAGACTGTTCTCATCACAAAATGCTAGTTGTGATTGTAGGGTGGATTTTTTGTTTAATTAGATAATATTTGAGTGAGAAACTGATGTCTGGATTTCTAAACAATATAGCCAGTCACAAAGGCAGCAGTAAATGTGTGTCTCTGCTTATTCCATTTTAGAAATTTCAAGTATCCCTCTTGTGCAATTAAAGGAAATTGAAAAAAATTTGAAAATTTTTTATTCTTTAGTGCTTTAAGAAGTGTTTCAGCCTGTGCTCATATATTTTTGCTATTCAGCAGGAAATTTAGAAGGAAAAAATGTGGGGTTTTTTTACACAAAAGGTTTGATAAACAAGATTTTGATTCATGTACAACATCTCTTTGCCACTTGGATGGTCTGTGCTTCTCAGCACAGAATTTATACTCCATGGAGAGTCAGAGTCCAGAGAGGTATTTGCAAGCAGTCTTTGCAGCTGGCTTAGTCCTGTGCTAATCTGGGATACTTTGCTGAGTTAAATCATCCCAATTTCATCTATTCCTGGAGAGGAAGTAAGATTGTCAAGAAGTCCCATTAAGTGATTGCCGTGAAATACCTTGATATGTCATATCTATGCGGATTGTGTGCGTGTGAAGAATTTCATCTATTTTAACACATCAACTTTTGTCCCAGATCTGGTGCCTAGGTAATGAGACTCGATTTCATATCAACAAAACAGTAGATGCAGCCATTCGGTCTGTAGTAATAGGTGGCCTATATCCAGGTATCCAGTACCGCGTGGAAGTTGCTGCAAGCACCAGTGCAGGTGTGGGAGTAAAAAGTGACCCACAACCCATAATAATTGGTAAGTTATTCTCTATTCTGTTGTTTTGTTTTGTTTTGCCTGGGGTCTTTTCTGGGTTTTTTTGGGGTTTTTTTTTTGTTGTTTTTTTTTCCTCTCAGAAATGTTTTCATACATCACTTCTGGAAGCATAAAAATCTGTGGAGGAAAATATGAGGTTTGGCTAGAGCTGGTTACTTAGTTTAGTTAGCTTTTATGTCCCACTGCCTGCTGAAGTTTTCTTCTCTTACTGCAGAGTTCTTGCAGACAGCGAAGGGAAGTATGTTCCCAAGACATATGAGAAAATGCAGATTGCCTAGTGAAACTGATTTCATGTTTGGGGTTTTTTTTAAATGAATTTACCACTTCTGCAGGTTAGCAGATGTGTGGAGCCCAAGCTCCCTTTTCCTTCTGTTAAAATGACTGGAATATTGCCTTACTCATTCCACTGGTGCCTAAGGCACTACCTACCATTGTTTTCTGAATTTCTAAAGTCGGTGTTTTTCAGGTATCCCAAGAAGACAAGACAAAGCAAAAGTTGTCTTTAGACCAATTAGAGAGGAAAGGTAGCATTATCATCCCAGCCTTTGAAATAGTTGTTTCTTGGTAGTTGTCTCCATGCAGAACTAAATTCCTGACCTGAGGGAAACACAGATTTTATTTCTTCTGTTGTTTATACTCCAGAAATTTTTCCTGAGTATAAAATATAAAGATGGGAACAATATGGAAGACTAGAAGTGATTATGTTTAGCAAACCTGAAATGAGCTGTGCAAAGCAGAACCTATTCTGAGTGCACAATAGAGGAATTTTGTTGCCTTTATCTGTATGATAACTTAGCTGTTGCTTAATGGTCTTTTGTTTGTTTGTTTGGGGGACTTCTGTTGTTAATAAATATTTTCTTTCTAGAAAGTTTTGTCAATACACTGTCCCAAACATGGACTATTCCATTATGTGTAGACCCTTAGAAAAGGCTGTCCCACAAGCTTTGCTTAAATGCTTACTGATATTTAGGTTCCCAAGTCATCAAAAAAGAAGCTAGGATACTTCAGCTTTGAAGTCCCTCTGGGAAACAGAAATACAAGAGTGAAAGTGGAGGTAGCACTTGGTTTAGGAAAGGCAGCCACAGAAACACCAAATAAAAGATGCAAGAAAGATAGCTAGAAGTGAAAACAAAAAATTGATTATTGAAGATGCAAGAGACCCAGGAACTTTTTTAAAATTATTATTTCACTAAAGGGTCTATCTAACTAGGCATGAAATGCACTGCACTTATTCTAGCAAAACACAATAAGTGTATTGCATTTGAAGTACATGGGTAGCCTTGTGTCATTTAATGTGTTGTGAATTATACTTTCACCAAAGGTCTTTGCTGGAGATTCCTGGAGTTCTTAGTGATATGTGTTTGTTCCTTAAATGATCCCAGAATGTCTGCTTCAACAAGTTTTTTTGGTGACATTTTTGCACATTTGGCAGTCATTTACATGAAAAGTAACATAGAGAGGTTTCTGTTTGGGTTATGTTTCTGTTATAATTTCTGTTTCTCTTTTGGGAGCCTGAAGCCGGATGTGTTTATTACATTTATGGTCTGTATCTCTCTTTTCTTTAGGCCCAATTTTGCTATTGATTATGAACTGCTAGCAGTTATTTCTCAGACTATAAATTTGATTGATAAATGTAACAATGTTTAAGTGATACCATTTCTGAAAAAAATTGAGTTGACACCATTCAATGTTTGAATGGCAATCAAAATCATAAAATATGAAAATTATTTTTTAAGGAAATTTTATAAAAACTGGTTACATGGATTTAAAGTGAGCTACTGAATAAACCTCAAAACATCATAATGAATGGGAAGTCATTATTGAGTTATTGTAATATCCTTCTATATGGTCTGGTGCTTATCTGTACTATTTAACAACTTACAGACAGAATGAACAGCTCCAGAAATGCTGAATTATAGAGAGAACAGGTCAGTGGTGCAGGAGAGTTAAGCTGTGTTTCTAAGCAGTAAAAACTTTTAATGGTAGTGAAATACAGAGTACAGTATATAAAAAGAGATGTTATTTTTCAATATAAGATTCATTCTTCTAAAAATGTTTCGAGGCCTTTTTTTTCTGGTTTTCATGGTGGATAATCAACTACTGGCCTCCCACAGTAATTTTAGATAACAGACCTGTTACAATCCAGAAAGGAAAAAATAAGAGAGTAGGAAGCAGTAGGAGGTATATTATTCCTTTACTTAGAAATTGTCTCACTGTTACAGGAATCTTGTGCCCGTACTTGAAAAATTTTATGGAAGACTCAAAGAGAATCAAGAATAGAATTTTATGATCACTAATGATATGCTTGAAAACATTCACTTGGAAAACCAGAAGTAAAATTGGAGATAAGGGCAATGCTGGTTAATGCTGTAGCTATTATTTCTCTTCATCAGTTGGCCTGGTCCCTCTTACATTCCATCATTGGCATAATAATATGAGGAACAGCTGCAAACTTTCACAGTAATAGGTACAATCGAATCTGATGTGTCTAATTAATTTTTGGTCCGACAAATTAGTTTTGTTCTTCATTACTCTCCAATGGGAGGAAGACATTATATTTCATTATGTTTTTGTCTTCAGGAACAATGGAGCGTTACAGGTCGCACACTTCCCTTGTCTATGTTCTAATTAGTTCAACTGACAGCATTGTTACAGAACCACCTGCAGTATATGAAATAGTACACTGGTATCTATTTATTACTTCTGCTTAAATATTATATAAAGGAGTACAAGACTAATGCTGTTTGCTTCCCCAATCCCCTACAATTATATTAATTTTATCAAAAGTCAGTGGATAGCATTCATCTGTCTCCATTTATTCTTCGCTCATCAAATTCATAAAGCATATGTTATTTTGACATTTCAATGAATTATTACTTTTGCAGTTGTAATTGCTAGGCACAGAAGGGTAAGAGCAAAAAGCCAGACTGCAAACTTTAGAAGGTAATTTGGAGACAGATTGTATCTTCCCCTAGAAGAGAGACAGAACATACAATCCACTGGAACCTCTTCCCAGGCACTTTGCAGTTTTCTCTCACATCCTCCCTTTTCAAAAGACTGTTTTCTGGTCTTTGAGAAGACAGAATCCTTGGATGTTTTTGGAGGATTTAGTGAAAAGAACTCATTCTTGTATCCAGGAACATCCACTCCCAAAGCTAGTGTCTCCAAAGTATTTTCCTGCCTGCTCTTCTCCTTGGTAGCACGGCAGTGTCTGAAGCAGTGCCAAGAGTACCTGTTTCCTCACTGTCCCACTGCTTTGGCCTCTCCTCCAAAGGGCACAGAAATTAACTGCAAGTTAATGGTAATTAGAACAACTCCAACTCCCATGCTGATTTCTACTAGAAAATCGATTTTGTGTCTGGAAGAGCATGCCATGGAGAGCCCCTTTCTATTAGTTTTACTGTCAGCTCTTCCTCTTTCAACACTGGGGTGCTCCTATAGCACCATTTTTTTTTTTTTTTCCATGGGCAGAAAAAAAACATGGAAAATCAGATAAAGCAGCCACTGCTGCCTGCCTTCTTTCCTTGCCACAGCTGCACACTCAGTTTTATTCTCACATACTGAATCAGGCCTGGGAGCCATTGGGCCTTTGGCAGTGGCAGGACAAAAGATGCAAGTATGGCAAAGCTCTCAGAGCCTGGTGCTGGTAAAGCCTCCCAGCATGGCCAGTATAGACTGGTGCATGACATGTACATCTGGCAGCACCTCTCTGTGGGGCTTATTCTGATTGCTGGGAGCCCCTTCTGTTCCTTGCCCAGAACAACTGAATGCAAGTCAGGCTCTAGCACAGTCTGATTGTCAAAGCAGTCATCAGTACTAAATACTGACATGATGCTGAAAGAGAGGAAGCCTAATGAACTCACTGGGTTCATCAGCAGTGCAGTAGCAATGGCACTGCATTCCCCCTGATTAACCCAGCTCTGAGCACCACTGAGGGCCTGAAGCTTCATCTTGGCAGGGGCAGGGCTGGGCAGAGGTGGTCCCAGAGGGACCTTCTCAAAGGAGCCCCTTTTATAGAACGTGTGAGCTCCAGGCCACCTGCAAAGATGTGTCCATGGAAATGGGACTGGAGGTGTCAGGCTTCTCAGATCTGCTTCAGCCAGAGACCCTGAGTGCTTTAGGCTGAAGCCAGCGAGCTGCTCTGTTGGAAGAAGTAAATCTAAGCATTGCTGAATTATAGAAAAGGAATATGTACATTTTCACAGCATGGCATAATGATACCATACTCTTAATAATTTTCTCCAAGTGACCATTTCAGTGTTTTACTGCAATGTTCAACTACCTTTATGTGTGTGATAGACTCTCATAATTGAGAATCATATTGTTTGCTTCTTCTTTGTCTCAATAGAGTAGCTACTCCTGCAGCTCTTCAGCGTGCATACAGGCATCTGGTAATAATGCCTAAACATTCCAAGGATTCAGCTATATAAATGCTTTTACTGGAAATAATGGATAATCTTTCACAAATTTCAAAACTGCAGATGTGGGCAATTTATATAAAACATACATAGAATAAAATTCAGGGGTTTATTTAGAAAAATATGTTCTGCATTTCCTAATTTTAAAACTAACTATTTTTGACAATTTGAAAGTGTTGGCCTTAGGACTATATGCTTTAGCATTTCCTGGATTTCCATTCAGATTTTTATGATTTTTTTATGAGCATTTGTTTTCAAGCCAAATGCCAAGCTTTTTCTTTTAGAAAAGTTCCCTTTTAGAGAAAGAGGGGCAAAACACCAGCAGGAGCATCTACTGGAATTTGCAATTTTCTGCTGTAATATACAATTTAAGATCCTATATAGTAATTTTTTGATGTATGTCACTTTAATTGGTATTCCAAGTAATAATTATTTCTTGCAGGTTGATGTTAAGAATTTCTATGCATATTCTAGGTGAAAAAAATAGCATCTGTTGCTGTGATTGTTTAGTGCTTGCAGTTAATTGTGCGATTTTCTGTTTTGTGTCAAAGATGGTACGCTTAGAATTTGTATGAACTGCTTTTCCCTGGAAATAATTGCTGGAAAATGCATCTTTGCCCCAGTGGAAAGTGCATTTATTGTCAATTTCAAATTTAGAAGCTATCATTCAGAGAAAAAAAATGAGTTGAGCAAGAATTTTTGGCCTTCTAAATTTTTGTATCAGGATTACTCATTTGGAAAAAGCTATTTATTGATTGTTTGATTTATTCTTTTATTAGTTTCCAGTGATCCATTTTCTCATTATTGCATTTTGTCTACCATTATGGAAAAACAAACTAACAAATATGTATATTGTTAAAAAAATAGCTCTGGATTGGCATCTGTTAGATTACTTGGGAATTTGTTATGGGTCTGTCTTTCCAAATATATATCTGCAAAATTGGTATGGATTTACTCTAGGAACACTGAGATTGTGGTGTGCATTGTTACTTCTGAATTTTTTTCTCCTGTGGGTAATTCTTTTGAGATCCATTACTATTCTTTAGAAACCTTCAATTTGTTGTAGTGGTTCCACTGTGTGTTGCAGAATCCAAAATAACCATGTTCTGTTCAATTTCTCTTGTGCAGGAGGTCGTAACGAAGTTGTCATCACGGAAAACAACAACAGCATAACTGAGCAAATCACGGATGTGGTGAAGCAGCCTGCCTTTATAGCTGGCATTGGTGGTGCATGTTGGGTCATCCTCATGGGTTTCAGCATCTGGCTGTACTGGCGAAGAAAGAAGAGGAAGGGGCTCAGCAATTATGCTGGTAAGAGCAATGACTTTATTGCCATCTCAGCAGGTGCTATCATTAAAAGAAGAGGGGCTACTAAACTTACCTAAAAATGACATTGAACTTACAGCAAAAGTGTCCTGGGTGACTTCTGTTTGCTTGTTTTAAATGTATGCTATGAAATTGCTGGTGTATGAGAAGCTTTAAATGCATTGCTCGGTACCACATTTCATCATTATCATAAGGCAGTATTTTTACATCATCATCATAAGGCAGTATTTTTACATCATTATCATAAGGCAGTATTTTTACATCTCCAGCACATCTAGCATTAAAAAAAGTACAAAGAGGATTAGCTGGTCCTCTTGCCCCTTGCTCAGAAGGCACTTTCTGCAGCATAATTTGTGTGTTCAAATATGAGTTAGACTAGACCCTTACAAGGAATGTTAAAGAATTTTTGTCTTCTTCTTTCCTGTGCATTTCCATGTCTCAAAAGCCATGTGCATGGCAAATAAATGAAGGTACTTAATCAATGACTTCATACCTGTAGCTGGAAGAAAGACATATTAGACAGAGAAGCGTTGTGAAAATTTACCTAAGGCAGAAGCCATAAACAATTTTGTCTTGGAGGCAGAACATTGTGGAATGTTGTCTTTCATTAAATGTTTGTTCCAATTATAAATTAGTTTTTGAAAACTACATTTGGAAAATTAAATATTCTTGCCAAATGAAAATATTTTCATCTTTCCCCAGCATTTGTTTTGTGTATAGTTCTCTTTTCAGGATTCATATGAATTTTTGGGAAGTCAGGTGAACTGTCATAAAATGGGTTACTCTGAAGCCTAATTTAACACATAAAAACTCCAGTTCTTCAAATATTGCAGTAGGTTCTCTTGTAGTTCTTGTTAACACTTAAAAAGAGAAAATATTTACCCAGTTAAGGAGAGAGTATATTTAATACTGACATTATATCACACTAAAGTTACACAAGTGCCCTTCTATTTACAAGTTATCAAATGTAGAACCAAGGACTCAGGTTCCCTAAATGGCTGAGTAAAACTTGCCAAAACCCCACAATCAGTCACAGCCAAACTGTTCCCAACTCAGTGCAGCCATAGTTAGACTCCTCAGTGTCCTGACAGGGGTCACTAAACCAGCAGGAAACTATTCCATGTTGGTTTTCAATCCTTCCTGCTCCGTTCATTTTCTACTGGCTTAGTGAAAGGACAGGAAGACATCAGAAAGTGGAAAGAAAGGAAGGAGAGACCAGTGGTTTTTGGACCTTCTCAGTTTTTGTGGAACCTCACTTTGTGTCACCACGTGATCTCTGTCATTCATGGGTTGTTCTTTGTCCCAAGGTGCTTTTTTCTTTCCTTTAATAGCAATAACTTTTACTCTCTGAGAGATGGGGTGGTTTTAACTGAGAAATTAATATATATTTCACACACTTATACATGTGCTGACATGAAATATCCTTCTAGATCCCAGGATTTTTTCATTCTAGAGACAGCTGTTCTGTTATTTCTCTTAGGAGGTAGTCCTACCTAAAGCTTTGGACACAAGCTGAGACTAGATATTTATTAAAAAGAAGGATTATTACTCCTGTATGTGAGTTGGCATATTGGGGTGAGGGAGAACTGAGAGCAGTCTGTTATAACTTGAAGAGTGTAGCTGTAAATAATTATAAACAGCATGTCTTGTGCAACTCATTCCTTCCCACGGCATTTGCTGCATCTAAGTGTGATGTGAACATCGGTTGCATCATGAAATTGTGTGTGCTTTCAGCAAGGAAAGTGGATAACAGATCATGCTTCAGAGTTCATCCTAATGTTTACAGCTTGGAATACAGCATGTCCTCACAGAGAGTCTTCAAATGTGACTGTCAAAATTCACTGCTCATCTTTCCAACCATCATTTGTCATTGGCTGCTGGCTGGTTGGTGCTTTAAGCTCAGCTGTTATGTGCTGCTTATGATATTCAACCCCACCTGAGTGATTTCCAGAGGAAACTCATTCCCTGCAATTAGTGCTTTTTGTCAGGGTGTGTAACTCACAATGTGTTTGCTTTCTTGTTTTGCAGTTCAGTCCTTCACCTTCACCCCTGCAGGTACTGTCCATTAGTCTGTCTCTTACCTCACCAACACACCATTTCAAGCAGTAGCTATCAAAGTGTTTATGAACATGTGAGATATGAAGAATTAAAACCAAGTATAAGGAGAAATACTCTGGCTGCCTATCTGTGATAAAAATGTAGCATTCATTTTCCTCTGGAGAGTAAAATCTACCACCACTAATGTCTCTGTCACTATAAATCTGCATACTTAAGTCACCTAACTCTGTGAAATGCAGTTTTTTTCAGGACTAGATTCCTGAACTAAACATAAACAAGCATTATTCATATATAACTGAATTTTGATTTTAAAGCTCAAATAGTTTATCAGATCCAAGTGGAGAAATGAAACTTTCTGCTACTTCACCTCTCAATTAAGTACATGTTTGCCTTACTGTGAGGTGTTCAGACCTTCAAGCAATCTAGTTACTAACTGATGCATCCATTGACTTTACAGGATTCTTAAAATTGAAATATTTGGGGTTTTTTCTTACTACCCAGCTCAGAGCTGGTATGCTATTTTTCTTATCTTTAAAAAGATAGCATACAGTAGATCATTGTATGGTAGACATAAACATGATTAAAGATAGGTGAAGAATAAACGAAGAGTGGCTGAAACATCAGGCTGCAAACACTTTATTCAACATATGAATAGTCAGGAAAAATAGAGTATACAATTATTAATAATAATAATAATAATAATAATTAATACAAACCATTAGCTACTGCTCTCATACCTAATCTCAATATTTAGAAACTCAAAAATAATTGTACTTCAGTGTTACAGTGTTAAAGGCTGATAAATCTCGGTGTTTTCCAGCAGAAGATTTTTGGTATAGTTTGGCCCCTCAGTTGCCTTTACCAGAGCTGTTTCCTCATCCTTAGTATCTGCTTTCTCACTCTTGCTTGCCTTCAGCCACAGCTTGTGTTCAGCTTTGCAGGAAAGAGCAGATGACCAAAGGTGGTGATGTATGCCCCAGGAGCCCATGATATTCTGAGGGAGAAATGTCCTTGTGGAAAAGCTCTGAGAGCTCAGGATTGCTCCCCTAGCTTCCAGGCAGGTCTGGCCAGGTTACTGTAAGCTATGGCACAGCACATACCACCCTAAACACTTTCCTGCCTTTTCTTTGAGACACAATATGGGTTTTTTTCCAAAACTAAATACATCTTTGCATTTGGTTCCTACGACTATGGCTTTGTCAGCTGCCTTGAACTGTGGTGTATTTTTACCATTGTGTTTGTGGCATGCATTGGCACGACACAGGGTTGTGCTGGAGCCACAGGGTCTGAGCATGATTTCATGCTGCTGATCCACATGTGCTGGGCAACTGGGATATATCAGAGGTACTGCCAAAAATGTTCTGGTTTAAAAGCAGTTTTGACATCTTGTGGATGTTGTAGAACTATTCTATTTCCTGGCTTATACTAACTTTTGGAGGAATTGAGGACCTAAGTCCTCCAGTAATCGAGTCCAAAAATTTTTTTAATTTAGAAAAGTACTTTCCTTATGACAGAACATAGTGCATGTTTCTTGCCTTTAGACACAGACTTCCATGACAAACTTTGTTAATTCTCTAATATTTTAATTTGCCCTTGATAATATCATTTAGAAAGACATACCTATGCTTGTGGAGGTTTGACACTCACAGCTGTATGTTCCCTTCAAAGTTATGGTTTATAAGGAGTTTGGGTTTAGATACAGTCATTTAGACAGTGGTATGTAGCTTTCAGAATCTCCTCAGGCACATCTGTCAATGAATTTTTACTTAAGATGACTTTATCCTAATATACTCAGATATTGGAAGGTACACACTTTTTGTTCTGACATCTGCTTTAAATTCTTCCTTCAGAGAGTTGCAGAACATACAGATTTAACTGTGTGGTAGAGAATTGAATCTATTAGGTAGAGAATTAATAATACTAACAATTATACACTAACTTTATTTCACACTCAGAAAAAAAATCCCCTGTTATTTCTGATGTGAATATTTTTTTATTTTTCTTCATCTGTATTTGCCTGTGTGTAGAACATAGAACACTAAAAATAGTTGTTTAAAAGTCCAAATCGACACAGTTTTTAAATTACTTGTTAAAAATATTCTTTTGGGTCATTTGGAGATTATGGGTCATTCACTAGGACCACTTGTTATTTCTATTCTGTTATTAGGCTCCTGAGTTGTGCAATTTCTGCTTTGTGACTATACCACTGTAAAATGTGTGGGAGAAGAGCAAACAGCAAATGTCAGGCGGTTTGTAACGATTTGTGTCAGGGCAGAATAACTGATCGAATTAAATACTTTTAGCTTTCTGTCTTTGGGAACATTTTCATAAGCACTGATCGATGGCTCAGATGGTCACAAATAAAGTGGCATTGATAATCCCAGCTAAATCTTTTTAGCTATTTTCAGTTGAACTGGCTCCAGTAGTTACTGAGCCACAATTCTGTACATCACTGTTCTTCCAATTCCCTTTCCACCATGACTCACCAGGCCTTGATTCTCAGTTATATCAGTGCTACAAAACATAAAATTTAGCTAATATGTTTGTTAGATTTCTGTTGGTAAGTAGTAATCTGCAGCTGTACAAGGACTATCCATTTTTGTGACCGTGACATACTCTCAGCAAAACCAAATCTAGCACAAGGACACTAAAAACAACTGTCATGCCTTTTCAACCATTTCTCCTGTAATATAAAGGATGGATTGGTTTCACTTATGTGAATTTGTGTGAAAACTAAAATACTGCTGCACTGTTTGGGTGGGGTATTTTTTGAGTTTGTTTATTTGTTTGTTTGGGGGGTTTTGTTTGGTTTTTTTTAACAACTATCTTTCCTGTACTCTCAAACTTGTGCCAGTACCCACTCACCAGTGTATCCAGGTGTTTTCAAGTGTCTAGGCAATCAGTCATGCAATAAAAGTAAATATGTATTTTAACTTATGAATAGCTAAGCTTATTTAGTGACTAGTGCTCCTTGGGATTAAAGATTTTATGAAACCCAGTAAACAGAAAACAAATTAAAAATAGAGAATCGTAGAATTTTACATATTTTATGTGCAACTCCTGAAACTGTTAAATGAGGATAAACTATATGACAGAATCATCCAAAGGTAGACAGAAGATTTGATGGAATTTTTATGTGCTGATTATCTGTTCTGAGTTAATGCTTATTAAAAGAGGATTAATCTACATTCATATTTGAGGAACAGCTTATCAGTAAAAGGAATGGACTTGGCTGGCAACATTAAAGTTTTCATTTGCAGTAGGAAAATGTGGCCTACTAGAGATAGGCATACAGAAAGCTTTCTAAAGCTTTCTAAAGATTCCTTGGCTCAGAATGTTGACTTACTATGCATTCAAATTTTTCCAGTTCTTGCAGGCGTGAAGATTAAGTTTAATCTTGTCAGATAATATTAGTAAATGGTTTTGGTACCTCCTTATATATTTAATAAAAAGCATGTGAAAAGCTCCTTAACATATGCTGGTTTTCATACAAATATATACAATATAATTTCCTGAAATATTTATGCATTTAAAATGCACTTTGGATTATATTTCTGCATTTTTGCAGTCCTTGAAGTATAGGCTGGTGGGGATTCCTTCAAAATCTCTCTATGCAGAGGTTATTTTTTCATCTTCTTTTGAAAACCAATCTCATCCCTGCAGGTCTTCAGCCTTTCTAAGAACATGTATCAGATGCAAAGACTGCTGAAAGAGCTTTTTTGCTTCCTTGGTGATAAAAAGCAAGGAAGATAGGTGGGTCAGTGATAGGGACATCCCTCCCTCCTCTTACATTGCCCCTTGAAATTGCTCTGCTGCTTTTTGAAGTGGCGACAGGATGAATAAAACCAGCTGTCTGTGTGTTTTATTTTTACAGTGACATCTACAAGCCTGCATTGCATTAAGTATGCTCCTGCTCGGGCGTTTAGACTTGTTTTGTAATTGCAGAAATCAAACTGCAGGAAAAAATGCTGACAAAATGCATGGCAGGAATGATAAACATAGTGCTTTTTTTGGCAGCCTGACCATATCTTCTGTTGTTAGCTGTCTTGTCTTTCACAACATTGATGCTAAAAGAAAGGCACCTTCTCTATCCAGCCTCAGGTAGCCCATTTATGGATGGCATCAGGAATTTGGGGTGGTTTTGTAGCATCCCAGTGACATGGCCACACTTCGAGAAGAATTTTGGCAAGCTTAGTTGATATTCCAAAGCATTTTACACCAAGCACATTAAATAAATATAATGCTTTTGGGTTTATTTTGTCATTGAGATTTTAACCATGCATACATTGATGTACAGGGTGAAGGGTAAACAAAAAAACCTGTTTTCCTTCCCAGCTCCATACACATCACATAAACAAGACTCAGTGTTCCCTAGGAAAAACAATATCACTGCAAGCTGAACCTTTCTTCTAAAGATGATGCATATATTGGGAGGGTGTAAGATGATTTACCACAGGAAATTTAAAAAAAAAAAAATACAGGAAACAGTTCCTACCACCAGGACACATGGAAGAAAAAGGAGGAAATTCTGTAATCCTTGTTTTTTTCTCAACAATCTCTAATTTCTTATGCCACAGCCAACCTGCAGGAATTATGGCTCTAGAAAAGAGATTTCCATGTAATGTTTGCATGATGGAATTTTCTTGGCATGCCTGGGAGTTTTTCCATACCTGCCTATACAGAAAATAAGATATGTCAGGCAAACTTTGCTGAAATCACCTGCTAGCTCCTTCATTTTAGCTTTGCTTTATAAAAGTACACAAGGATATAAATACTTTGTAGATCACAAATATTGTTGTGATTCTTTTTTTCCTTCATATGACATGCACTGTACTTGCTATACGAGTGGCAACAAAATTACCTCAAATAATTTCTGGTAGATGACAGTCTAAACAAGGGCATGAATCCAAGCAGTTTTCAGAAAATATGTTTTACTGCAATTCCCTTACATCTGTAAACTTTATTTATAAAGGTTGTTATCAAACAAGCCTTTGTTTCTCGTTTTCCTTATTTTTATCACTTTGACAAATGCAGAAAGTTGGAGAAATCAAGTATTAAATTTGGAGGAGAGGAGGAGGAAGGAAACAGCATGTAATATACTACTGACCAAGCTACTTGGAAACAAAGCCAGGCAGTACCCACATCTTTGCATAATCACATATGATATGCACAGCACTTCAGATTATTCACTTTTAAACAACGAGTGGAAGTCATTTGACAGCCTTTTAGATATCACGTAAATGAAAGCAGCATTGCCTCTAAAATTAATTACCCACAATGTTTTACCATGTCTTGTTTTTCAAAGCAGACCTTTATTTAGTACTTTCCATACTTGCATTTTGATTTTCTTTTCATTAATTGGTTTGATTACACCCTTTCAAAATTCAGCTATTAACCATTTTGATGTGACATATGACTGCAGTGATTTTCTGATATTGGTATTAGTCTGCTGTGCAGTGAAGGGTAATTAATCACCCTACTATTCTTCAGCAGAGCTTCCAGAGGGGCCAGTTTTGTCCCCTTTGCTGAATGTACACTAGGAGTTAATAAAGTAACAAGGATTCTATAAGGTATCAGAAGAGTTTTCCCCGTGGCTTTATGTAATTGCTTATTTTTTTAATGAACACCGAATTTCTATTGGCTGTAGTCATTTTGTCTGATTAGAATAGTGTATAATAGAAAGCCTAATCCTGAGCTAGTGTAGTTTGGACTAATACTCAGAAAATCTTGCAAATACTCTGGGAGCTACAATTTACTGATGGGACAAACTGTTTTACAAAGGTAAATAGTATTTCCAAATGCAAGTCTATTTTAAGTTAAACTGGTCACAAGCTCTTCCATTCTTACTGAAATTCAAACCCTCATCCAGTCAGAGCCCTTTAAGGCTGCAGGTGTCCAGGACATTGGTATAATTTAATAGTCTGCCTTATCTATGCCTGACAATAAATAATGGGATATTGCCACTGAGAACCAGAGTAGTCTGTTGGCCTTGATTCAAAATATTTTTTCAGTGTTTCAGAAAAGATCATCAAATGTTGTCAATTAGCATCTCACCAGTAATGTGGGTTTACATATATTGCCCTGAAATGTAATCCTGTTAATAGATAGATAAGGGAGAGGCTGGTTTTTGTCAAATACCCATGAATGGAGAGATAAAAGCAATTGTCTCCCTCTGATTATGTCCTTGGCATCCCCATGGATGGAAGACTGGAAACACTTTTTCTTCCTGGTGACACTGGCATGTATGCATTTATGTGTGGGTGCTAGTTCTTATACTGTACTTCTAATGGAAGAGGTGCAGCTGATGCTTTTTTTCATCCCTTCAGCTGTAATAGAGCTGCCACCTCTTTGTGTTTGTCCTGGGAAATGACATATTTGTGTGGTGACATTATATTACTGCATTACGACATGATGTTATTAACTCACTGGTGCAATGTCATTATGTGCTGAAGCAGAAGCATGCCAAGAAAACAATTTGATCACATGGCTCAAACTTGCAATGCAAAGTCGTGTGAAGGGGTCTTGTATGTGGTGAATTCAGGCCTTTTGCTCAGTGGCTGCTTTGCCTTGCAAGGTACAGAGCAATCAGTAACGTGCTGTCAATCAGTAATGTGCAGTGAAATCCTAAATGAACTGTAGCCCCAATGTGCTTGAGCCTCTTCTTGTCATTTCTGTACTTTATTATGGGATGATACCAAGAGACCTCTGACCTCGGGCACTGAGCAGTTTGAATTGTTACTTTTAATTATTACTAATTGATTTTTCCCTGTCTTATATGTGTGTGTGTGTGTGTGTATGTTTGTTTGTTTTGTTTTTACAACCAAAACACAGTCACCTTCCAAAGGGGAGATGGAGGACTAATGAGCAATGGAAGGTATGTTTCTTTGTATAAAGGTCTTTCCACTGTGTTTATTCTTAAAGTAAGGGATCTGAAAAATGCTATAGGTGATGCACTCGGGTCATAGCCCATCATTGGGAAGACTGATAGCACTAGGAGGAGTTAAGTAGTTTACCACAAGGTTTAATGACCTGTCTGTTGTGCACTTTGGAAGAAACAAGCCCAGATGTTTCATATCTCCCAGATGTCCTGGAAGAAATGAGTAGTAAATATCAAAAAGAATGTGTTCATTTGTTACTGGGATGTTTATTGCATTAATTAGACATTAGCAAATGAAGTTGCTGTTGTTTAAGACTCCTTATTGGCTCCCCCTAAATTGCTGTGAGTGAACAATTACACTTAATCGATCACAAAATAAATGATTCATGGATGATGAATAGGCTGTAGATTGATAGGACTGGATTCCACAACTTTGGCTACTCAATTGAAATTGATAAAAGCTGATAACGGGCCCATATATCCTCATCTATTTTCCCTTTGCCAATATGGAGATTGTAATTAGGCCCTGGTAATAACTTCCAATCTCCTGTTTAATCAATATTTTAGCAAAAAGAGATTAGGCCTAATGAGAGCGAGTAGATGTGGCAAGAATGCGGCTGGGCCGTGTTATAGCTGTTTCCATAGAAACCAATGTTTCTCTTAGGGATTGTTCCAGGCGGGGGTCTGTAATGCTCAGTGATGGGAGATGCTGCTCCAACTTCACGAGTGCTTTAATAACCCAGGGAAACTGCGGAACTGTGGACGCCTGTTTGTTTTCGTGTGGGAGAAAAGGGTGTCTGCAGCAAACCATTTGTTTCCCCTGCTGGACACAAATACAAACAATCCACCTGCCTTGCTAAATTTCTGTTTATCCTGGGGTGAGAGAGACGTGGTGCCTCGTGGCCCAAGAGTGCCTTCTCTTTCACCATGATCCCTGTTTGACGCTGCTCTCAAAGTGGGAATTGCAGGGAAATTAAAGCCATGCAGTATTGGCACATAGAGATAGCTGTGGACTTTCCATTAATCCTCCTCAAACCTGTTTGCCTCTAAACCATCCAAGAGTGCTCAAAGAAAGAGTTACCAGCCTGTAGATGACAGGCATGCATTTGGGATGCAAGGGAAGGAAGAAATAGTAGCCCAAAGTCCTGGAAATGGCTGATATGGAGCAATCAGTTTGAGTGATGGCTCCCTCGAGGTGGTAATTTATCATTCAGCCCTGGCGTAGGATCCCATGATGGTGCTGCCTAACTCCTGTTTCACACAGACAACGGAGTTCATTTGGATTCTGGCAGAGTCACCACGGATGCCAAGTCCCACTTCTACTGACAAAGTTGATTTGTATATAACCTTAATTAACTGCTCAAGGTCTTTAAATCATCAAAGGCTATACAATTGTAATTTGAAATAAATTAAAGTCTCCTAAATTGTTAGTTACCTATGGTGATAGAAGAACAGTAATATGCCCTCTTCCATTACTTATCTCACAGGTATTGTTATTTCATATATATATATATATATATATATATATATATTTGTGTGTATATATCTCTTTTTCTTATTCTGCTTCAGTCGACCAGGTCTGTTGAATGCCAGTGACCCCAGTTATCCTTGGCTTGCAGACTCTTGGCCTGCCACAAGTCTGCCAGTAAATAACAGCACTAGTGGACCAAATGATCTTGGGAATTTTGGCCGTGGAGGTAGGTTTCCTTTTGTTAAGTCACCCGATATTATAAAATAGGCTTCCATTAGTTAACATCTATGATGAATACTGTATAATATTTTTAACATTATAGTTCTTTCTATGTGTTTCTTTCTTTTTATATTTGATTGAAATTGACTTTTAAATGTTCCTTTTGCTTTATCTCTTTTTACTTTTTAAAAATGTAGGTCTGGTTTGTAATTTGCCCCACAGTGGTGAGACAGGGTCTGTTTATGATGTCAAGAGAAATGTATTTGTGTCTCAACCTCATTCCCTTTTTTGTGGAGATGAGCAATGTACCATGAAGGGCAGTATAGCCAGGGGTGGAGGATGTCCATAAGAGCAGAGGAGAACTCTGGAGATGCAGGAAAGATGTTCCTTCAGCAGGAGGACACCAGAATTTTGTTGCTGTCACCTTGCTCATTCTCTTCCTGCTCTCAGGGTCCTACTCTCAGTCTCAACCATAATCTGTGAAGAAAACCTCAAAAGTCTTAAGCAACTTTCTTTTTCATTGGAGGAAGGGATACATAAGAGGCAACCATTTAGATCTTTTAGGGGTTTGTTTACATTTTACTTGAGAGACACTTTTGGAGGTGTGAGGTAAAGATATATTGTTACAATGAGGAAGGAATTTTTAGAGGAGTTATTTAATTAAAATATTTAACTCAAATGGGAATTTTAAGATGTAGGATTTAATTTTTTCGAAGTCATAGTAATATTCACAGTAATATCTCTCTGTTATTTCCTTGGTTTCTGTGAGAACACAGCTAATTCTGCATGCTGGTCAGAATTTGCTTCTGAAGACTATCTATCATACTGGGTATACATTCCCATGAAAAGCCCCTTGCCTGTGGTTTGACTACTGTGACTTAAAATTACAACAAAACACACTAGATTTATATTTTGTATAAAAACATTATAAAGTTCTTGTCAAAAATATTTAAAAGTAAGCAAAACTTTGGATAATATTTACAAGGCAATTGAATTTCTGCCAGCTTCTTTGTTGTGAATATCTTGAAAATAAAACACTTCAGTTCTTTTCCATCTTTTCTTAAATCCATGTAATACAGAAAAATTACCATTTTCTTTTAGCATTTGGCTCTATACAACTGAAATTGGAAGCATTTTTTAAAAATTTTTTGGCCTCAGTGTGCTTGAGGCATAGGTCCAAATTCATGCAAGAGATACAAATTGCATTTTAAAATCCTGTAGCTTAATTCCACCTATGATCTTTACAGTTGAGCTGAAACTTTTATTCTGGGTGGTTTGGGATCACTTATCCCTATCTGTTTCAGCAACTGAGATTAGATGTTTCTGCATTAAAGACTGATTGGAGGTATTTTAACATGCAGAGATGGAATATTAACTATTAAGATGGAGTTTGGGCCTCTTTTACTGGTTAAAAAGTCTGTGATAACGTAAAAGTTCTGTAAAAATTTTAAAAGAATAGGGTGGTATCATTAATCCTGGAAACTCAGAAGCTGATGCCAGCAGTCCTAAAATTTCCCTTAAGAGTGAGATCCACTGTCCTAGATAGACTTTTGAGAGCAAGGCTGTGAGTAGGAAGCACAGGTGAGACTTGGAGTCATGTAAGGCCACAAAATGGTATTGTGTCTCCAAGGCAGCAAGAAAGAGCTTCCCTGCACAAGTATTTCAGCACTATTTCATTCATCTCAAGAGTTACAACCAAAAGTTGGATTCTGGAGAGTTTTGAGGGAAGCTTCCAATGGGAAGTGTGTCTTCATCTTTGGTCTGAAATGTACAGTGTGGTGTTTTTGCTATGACAGTTTGCTGGGAAAATCACACTTGACACTTACTCAGTGGCTATGGAACTTTAAAATCTCTACTTAATAACTCTTTGAGTGCTTAAATGTACACATGTCACTGAGGTCAAAAAAGTAATTCCTGCTTGCACTGAAAATTCCCAGAATGTCTGGAGAACCTCAGCTTATCAGTAAGAATGACTGAAAGTCCTTGGCTGGTGTGCAGCTATGCAACTTCCCTTTCAAGTGTGTACACATGAATAGTTCTCCATTTTAAGATGACTGTATAGAGATGCTACCTCTTTAGTTGCCAGAAATATGCACTAAAAGACAGATGTAGGTCTGAGTACTTCAGAGATGAGCATTTTGCTAGTTTTTACTTCCTTCAGTCTTCAAATCCAACAGAAGCTGGATTTACTTCACTTTATACATCAACAACAGAATTTATTTACTAAACTTCAAGCCATTATACTTTGACGGAACCAATTGTGGAAAGAAGAAATGTTCATATTGTGGATGAAATGCAAGAAAGATAGGACTGCACTTGTCTCTCACATCTCATGCTGCATTTGCACATAAATGCATTTTTGTTTGTATACTGCCACTAGAAAGCACATTGTATAGGTGCAGATAGTAACAGCATGATTTTAAAATATGGGCTATAGTTTGCATTAATTGGATTTTTTTTGCACCTGCAATTTATCTGCAGATATAAGTTAATACAATTAAGATCTTTTACATACTTGATTGCACCCATTTCTCTGCTGTATGCAAAACCAGATCATTTGGTTTAGACCCAAATTTGATCTCTTTCTGCTGTGTCTCTGCTGAGCATTTGCTATTACCATATTTATTGTTAATATTATATATATAATGTTAATATGTTATATATATAATTATTAATTATAATTATATAATTTTATATTATAATTATAATTATAATATTAATTATATATATATATATATATATATATATATATATATATATATATATATATATATATATATAAAATATATTTGCCCTGAGACAAAAAATGTTATTAGGGTTAAAATGTTAAAATGTTAAAATGTTCCCTGTAGCACACCTGAATGCAAAAGAAAATAGTTCTGTGATCTAAATGTTCATCCCAGGAAAAGAAAATACTAAACCCAAAAAAAACCAGCTAAAGCAAACAAAAAATACCAAATCACTGTAAGGAGACCATGGTGTCACATCTCATTGCTGGATAAGTCTTTGAGACAGTGAGAACAAATGTATTCCCTGAGGTTGCACAAAACCCATATCTGAGTTTGGAACTGAGCTTAAACCTTTCACTATGTGCAAGAATCTTCTTTTCTTTCTGGGGCTTAAGGTACACAAAAATGGCTGTGATCTCTAGAATAGTATCTGAACATCCTCACTATAGGAGTATGCATTATCTCAAGTATGATATAACAGTTGGAACCTGTATCTGCCATCTGGCTGTAGAAAGAAAATGGCATATAAATGAAGGATTTTTTTAAAAGAAGTACATTCTGGAATTGATTCAACTTTTCAGAGTCTAAATAAATTGTAAAAATAGTACCATTTGAGATATTGACCTCTGAGAGAGCATTAGGGAGGGTTATCTGCTAAGCTGTGGTTCTCCTTGGGACATCATGCCAGTCTTCATTAGATTCTTCACACTTTACAGTCTCAGTTTCTAGATCTAGTATTCCACCAGGAAAGGTCACTTCAGTGTTTAGTAAGGAGAGAGACTGCCAATGAAACTGATTAAAGATACAAATTGCAGTGTGGGATAGGATTCAAAATATTGAGAAAACTCTGCAGATATTTTGTTAAATATGCTCTAATGGCTTTCAGGTAAATTTACTGGAGATTTTGAACAAGTTGTTCTTCATTATCAACATTGCTTCACCATTTTGAGGGACTGATCACCTAAATCCCTTCAGAATATCAGATTTTCTTTCATGTATCAGAAATAACTTGTTTTTGTCAGGTTTTTCTTTTGTTGAAAAGAAGAAATGTACTGGCTAATGTCAAAAGGAAAATGAGATAACCTGATGCAAAAAGTTTCAAGGAAATCAAGGTGATTTCCTTAAAAAATTACTTTGAGAGGTTTTCTACCTATTTTCTGGGCAAGTTCCCTCTGTGATTTGTAAATTATCTCCTTTCATAATTTCCCCGAAGCCCAGACAGTTTCATTGGTTCTGCCATAGAGTGAACAACTGAAAACATTCTTCAGTAGAGAAATATTCCAAACTTCACTTTCACAGTTGAAGGTATGGGAAAAAAAAGAGATGGTTTTAGGCAGTGAGACGTGAAGGACAAGTGGTAGGCCTGTCACAGCTGCTGATAGCTTGGCGATGGTTGTACATCATCTTCCCTTCGCTGGCTCATGGACCTGTCTCAGCCAAAATGCAAACGTGCAAAATGACACGTTTATTTCTCAGCTTAAACCTTGGTACTTCCAGGCTTGCTGTGCATCAGTGATTTGTTTCGTTCCACAGATGTGCTGCCACCAGTGCCAGGGCAAGGAGATAAAACCGCTACCATGCTTTCTGACGGAGCCATTTACAGCAGCATCGACTTCACCACCAAAACCAGTTACAACAGCTCCAGTCAAATAACGCAGGCTACACCATATGCCACCACCCAGATCCTGCATTCCAACAGCATCCACGAGCTGGCTGTCGATTTACCAGATCCGCAGTGGAAAAGCTCAATTCAGCAAAAAAATGACCTTATGGGATTTGGTTACTCTCTCCCAGACCAAGGCAAAGGCAACAATGGTAATTACAGCTCTTATTTTCCAGAGCCCTTGGCTTTGTGTTCTGTGTCATCTGTGCATGAATTAGAAAATTCTTTTTAGCTCTGTGAGACACTGTTCATGTTGACCTGAACTAATGCTTGCACACCTTGCATGTGTGCTGAACCTCACCTGATCACAAAATACATTGCACTGTGCTTTTAATGCTCTTTGTCCTGTACTAGTCACCAAGCCATCTGTCTTCCATTAGGCTAGGGTAGGTGTACCTTTAAAAATAACCAAGTTAAAACCTGCCACCCCACCCCATCTGCCCCTGACTTGCTAACTGCATGTGTCGCATGTGCTTGTGCTGTCGACTAATCCCACGATGCCACTGTGACCTCTGCCGTTTAACCCTTAGCCTTGCTTTACATCCCTGACTACCGGGTGGCTGAGGGACTGGCTAATAGATTGCCACACAACCAGTCACAGGATTTCAGCACCACCAGCTCCCACAACAGCTCCGAAAGGAGTGGCAGCCTCTCAGGTTGGTTCCATCGCCGTGCGTAGGGGAGCGAGGGACGGAGGGGTGTTGGCGAGTGGCTCGCCAGGGAGGCAGAAGATCCCCCAGGCACCAGTTGAGGATAGACATGAGAGTTCCTGCCCATCAGCCAACAATGCCACATGGGACTCTACTGAAACAAAAAAGCCTTTTGCAGAACCTACTTGGAGATAACTGGAGAGTGCTTCCATGTGGCGCTTTGTCGGCGCAGCTGCCAGCCTCGCCTTTTCACATCCTTTCCCTGTCACAATCTGCGGAGCAAATTTATTTCTGCATCCATCCTCAGTTTATAGGTCTCCCCACACTGAACTTCATGAGGAGATTATTATTTTTGTTGAGTTGTTAACAGATATCCCACTCCCACAAGCTGTTTCTAAATGCTGTTCCTCAGTGAAGCAGGTTGGAAATAGTTGTAGGGCCCTGAAAGGTGACTGGGGTTTCAACAAATTGTGCCAAGTTTACATACAAACAGGATGTAAATTTTATGTGTGTGCTGCATGTTCTATTGGAAATATGATGCATTTTCATCAGATGAAAATGATCATAGTACATGTGGTTGTGTATTATATCTGAGCACACCTTTTTTCTTGATTTCTTTAATTTTGCTTACTTGTTGCTTATGTTATGTACAGTTGTCCTTTTTTTTTTTTTTTTTTTTTTTTTTTAAAAAAATTTTTTTTTTTTTTTTTTTTTTTTTGTCAAGACAAAAACTGAAAAGGCAACAGTTAAGATGAAAATCTGTGATTTCACCTAGCTGAAATATGGGAGCACTGAAAGAATTTACTTTTGAAATTCAGAATATATCCACAGCCTTTTGAATTTCCACTTTAAGCTGGATCAGTCCTCCCAGTAACAGGCCAAACCTAGAAATGGCTTCTTTATGTCAATTTAAATGACTATTCAAACTGAATCTTGAGATAAGATGCTTATTATCATTGGCTCATGATTCAGATAGCCAAATGTGTTTGCAAGTCTTGCCTTCTCCAGGCATTAGCTGATTTGTCTGAGACCAAAAAATAGGCTTATGGCATTGTCAGAGAGGTATCTGGAAGCTGAAATACCTCAATAAAGTTTCTTGTTCCTTGCATGTGAGATATATTGACAAGTAGCTTAGGAAATCATCTTGCTCCTCAGGCTGCATGAAAATGCAGAAATGGATGTGCTGGGGTACATATATGTCAGGTATCAGAGGGCAATATCACACTTTAGATATGTTGACAGCTAAGGCTGCCTAAGAGTTTTCTCAGAAAATAGGAAGTGTCACTGGAAAATACCCTTTGATCAAAGGCTGGACTTTTATCAAATATTTCAAATGCAACATGATTCTGTGTAGTGTTTCTCAGAAGTGAATTTGCTGATGACACTGGGAAACTTTATAATCAGTCATATGGCCAGGGCAGTCTTCTTGTGACCAAGGCAGCTCACAACTGGATGCCCCAGTGCTCAGATGAGTGCCAGATTGTTGGACTGCAGAGTCAGTATTTTGCTCTCCCTTGCCCACTAATTATGCCTTTGATATAGGATAATTATGTCTGTAATACTCAAGAAACTGGGGAGACCTTCAAATAGTCTGATAATTAGAGCATCACTGGAGTCAGAGACCAGCTTTGATTACGTAGTCCCCACCAGGGTGAGCAGGGATTTCTTCTCTCATTTCCTTGGTTAGTACTTTAAGTAGTACTTATTATTCTGAGTAAGTTTCTATCTCAGTACTTATTATTCTGACTAAGTTTCTATCTCAGTACTTATTATTCTGACTAAGTTTCTATCTCTCTTACATGAATATCACGAGAATTCCTGTCCCACTGTGGAATGGAAAACAGCTAAAACCTCAACTGTTTTATGAGGCAGGGAAATTTTATAGCTATAGTTTGCACAGATGATGTCTGTACTAGGATAAGTAGCCCAACTGGCAAATTCTTTCTCCTGATTCACCTAGAGATTTAAACAATATAATTGAATTTCAGTGTGAGGAGACATTGAAGCATCAGGCATTGTTGCTATGGGAAAATAAGGCTTTGGTGCATCAGTTTTCAAACACAAATCAGGCTTTATATGTTCGGTGTCTGTCCCACCAGTCTGACAGTGGAGTTTAGCCTATGGGGGCAGAAGAGAAATCTCCTGCCCAACTGTACAGTGTAGGCTGCTTTCCCCTACCAGCAATGACCTTGGAGTTCCCTTCCTCCATTTCTTCATCTAAACAAGTCCCTTGTCTCTCTGCTTCACTCCTTCTAATATCTCCATTATCTCTAATTTCTCTCCTTGAAACTCCCAAAATCCAAGTGGCTCACTCCCATATTATCACTCCACATGTCAACCTACATTTTACCAGTCTCCTAAGATCATCAAGATGATACACTTCCAAAATCTTCCTCTCCACCTCAGCTTAATCTCTAAGCTGAAGTTGTTTTCATTTACCTTCTCTGTGTGTTCCTAGTTTAATTCCTCCTGTAACATAAAAACCATTCATGTGCTTTTCTCCTAAGGCAAACCCACTTGCCTTAGTTCTTGTTGGCTTCTACTCCTGATGATTTTTAAAATATTTCTCCATGTCCCACAAATTAAAACTAATCTACTTCCTTTGCACTGTTCAGTGACCCTATTTCTAATTCCCCATTTTCTGCCCTACCTGTGCTTTGAAAGCTTCACTTTCCCTCCAGAAGGTTCATATATTTGTTCCTCTGTCTCCACTGTCATGGGGTTTATTTTCACCAGTCAAAATGTTCTTTCCCTTTTCAAGAAAGCTGCCCAGTCTGCCAGGCTACAAATAGAAGGAAGAGCCTGTTTTCCATCCTAATAGAAGTAACATCCACTCAGTTCATACATAATGAATCACAGGATCTTGGCTGGACTTACTATAAATACTCCAAAAAAAGGAAGGAAGAGCTTTGGTCTGGAATTGAGTACTGGAAAGCAAAGTCTCACTTGCAATGTGCTGCCAGCGAGGTCAATTAGAAATATTGCTGGGCTTGTTGCCTGTCTCTAGCAGATACAACAGGAGGTGAAAAGAGAAGTCGTGGCTGCTTCTGAGTCACAGAACCACCTTTTTCTTCCCTCTCTATTTGTTCCTGTTTTCATCCTGCTGATGTTTGGAGGTAACAGAAGAAAGCCACTGTTTCACAGATGAAAAGTCTCATGACAGGGGCTTGTCTCTATTGCTGGAATTTCACCTCCTTCTGTGTTTCTCTGTGCCTAAAGTTGGAACCATGGCACAGAGGATGGTGCCTGCCAGTGCACGTCATGCCACCCTCCCTGACCAGTCAGTTGTGGCTTTCTTGATTCATTGATTCATTTTCACATGAAATTTCTCACTTTTTTTTGGCTGATCATTATAAATCATCAGGGGACATAAGTAGGTGAGATGGATTAGAGTGCTTTCTGCAACAGGCCAGGGATGAGTGAGAGCAGCTGGGTACCCCACTGAAAAGGCATCTGACAAACCATTCCTCTACCCAACAAAGAGTTTGAAAGCCACAACAGAGCTCCAAAAAATAGATGAGTCCCCAGGCAGACAAAGGATTCAAAATGTTGAGCCATTCTTCCTCTTAATGAATTCCTGACAAGCAAAAGAAGTCAGGGAAAATAAAAGAAGCAAACCAAGTAGGATGAGAGCTTTCTCTGTAAGATCACTCTCCTATGAATGGAAGTGCTTCAGCTGGAGAAGTGAATCCAAGGACAGTAAGAGAAGAGCAGAGGGTTTAACCAAAATGCATTGCTCACTTCATTTCTACCTCATCCATTAGAGCTGTGTATCAGAATAGAACCTCTTCTCCATAGTGCACCAAGATATTTGAATCTGTTGAAACAGTCAGTCCTAACACATTGCACGTGACTTCCTGCTCTTTTAAGAAAAACATAAATTAGGAAATTCCTATCAACAAAACCCTCTTTCTTTTGTTTTGACAATTTACTCTTGTCTTGAAAGTCCTGACTCCAATGACATTTTTGGATGGTGTTCTTAACCTCTGTGTTTTCCACAGAAAGTGATTATGCAAAACTGCAATATAATCACAGTGGATTCTGACATTTGAAATAATTTGCTATGTTTTATTATAATTTTATGTAAGAGTGAATCCAAGAAGTTATAAAGTGCACCTGAATAAATCAGGGAATATATTTCTTATGCAGGTAAACCTGTCTTTCCTTGTTTCTGCACTACTGTGGTGCAAATGTACAGAGGTATAAAAATAAGTGATTTTCAGTAAATATTCAGAATATTCTCCATTCCATTCTATTATTACCTATAACTTTGTGACAGCATTAGCACGTTGATGTTGATTCTGCTGAGGTATAAATACATCTTTTTTGGGGCATGTGCTCTGGAATCAGAATTCTGACAAAGAAACATAAATAGCTGGCCTTTATTTCCACATTATAGCTCTAACATTTTATTTTTCTTTTTTTGGATTTGCAGGTGGAAAAGGAGGGAAAAAGAAGAAAAACAAAAATACTGCCAAGCCCCAGAAAAATAATGGTTCAACCTGGGCCAGTGTTCCCCTCCCACCCCCTCCTGTGCAGCCACTTCCAGGCACAGAGCTGGAGCACTATGGGGTGGATCAGCAAGAAGCAGGGTAATTTTTTTTTTTTTTTCATTTTCTGTTGAAGAAAAATCTGTGATTTGCAGAAATGAGTCCTTTTCTATTTTTTTTTTTTAATTTTGCTAAGTGACAACATTATTCTGTTTTGTTTAAAAAAAAATAAAGAGAGAGCAACTTATCCTGTAGACTTATTCAAGGCTGTGAAGGAGGAATGTTTGAATAGCTTCTCTGGATAGTGACTGAAGATGGAAACATAAGTGACCTTGCTTCATCATCATGTAGGGCATCAGTGATTTCTCATGCTGAGAACTATCTCACTTCACAGGTAGCTTAATTGAATTCTGGGATGGCATGGATCTGATGGGACTCAGAGTGAGTAAGAATGACATAATCTGGCTCTGTGTATTTTTTTTACTGCTTTGATGTTTAAAAATATTAGAGCAAACAGAACAAAAAAAAACCCCACCAAATTGGATTAATTTTTGAAGATCAAACAATGGATAATAATCTTCTCATCGGCTTTTAGAAGAAATTTCACATTTGAGGAAGGCATGCTAATTATAGGCTTTTTTTGTTATTATTCAAAAAACTTTCAAGTTTCTGGGACCTTCTACATATTTTTGCATAGCTCAGACTTGTTCTCAAGGACACAAAATCACACAAGAAGTGCTAAATGAGAGGAAAGAGACATTTCCTATGCAGACAACAATTACAAAATGCTTTTTATAAAGTGTAATTATGTGATATATCAGGTTTTAAATCTCTGGAGGTAAATCAGAGTATATAAAAACATAGTTTACTGTGGGTAGCTCTGTTGGAGTCTTTGAGAATATTTTTTCTGTCAGGGACAAATTTCTGTCTGTTTCAATGCATGGATTAATCAATATTTCCTAAGGATGAAACATTTTTAAGAATACATTGTAATAGCTTTACTGAATAAAAATATTTCAAACATTATCTCAGTTGTAAGTGGGAATTGATCATTACTACTTTCATAATTAAAGTTAGAAAAATTCCATATTGTTTCAGTTTATACCAACTCCTTTGACTCTTATAATGAGCAATAAATGACTGTCTTAGTCAGTGAAGTTCTTAAAATTAAGGCCCATTCAGGCGGTATTATAGTTAAAATTTCAAAATAATGGAAAATTAATAACCTTACTGATTGTGAGTGTTGTTTAAATCTCAAGACAAAAAGTTCATTTAATCATTGTCTTCTGTATTCTGTTATAAGAGGCTAAAATAAATTTAAAATTGTTTCACCATATAATAATTTTGTCTTTATCAGTTTATATCCTTAAAACACATGTGCAGCCATTTCACTAAAACAATTATGCAATAGAAGGCAAACCACTTGGATTTTCTTCAGAACAATGAAATAGCATTAAAGGTAAATGGAAATACCTTGTAGAGAAATCCCTTGTGACACAGAGTTTGACTCCTCAGTTGCATAAAGCATCTGTAATTTAGCTGGAAAGGAATAATGTTGGTCACCAAATCAACACTGGTTATTTAAAGAGAAGGTAATGACCAGCCTCTAGGTTCACAACTGTTCAGACTTAGTTTTTCCTCTGATTGTGTTTTGAATTACTCTTCTCTGGTTTTTGTAATGTCTCATTAGCAGTGGTGGTAACAAGACCTTGTAACGTGTATTTTACCAAACACAGACAAAATTTGAAAGTTGGACTTAGAGTCTCCATCTGGAGCTACAGTCCACCTTTGATGAAGACTGAATCTGCAATGCCCATGCTTTCTGAGGATGTTTCCAATACTAATAGTCCTTCTGTATTTAGGGGGTGGTCTTGTTTCTGCAGTTTTCAACATGCTAAAAGGGAAAGAATCATAGACTGCATTCCTTATGTTGCCTTGGACATACTGGGTTAAAAAAAGTCACATTTTTTAACTCATGTTCTTCTTGGTTTGTTTTGATTTACTCCATCTATGACAAATTCAAAGTGGTTTAATTCTAGAATTAGTTACATGGAGATGTAATTATATTGTGAATTACAATGGAAAAGTGACCTTCCAGGCAGAAAAACTTAACCGTTTAATGAAATTCTCACAATATGATACAAAATATGTGTGTTTAGAGCAATAAAACAAGGAGGGTGGCATCAAAATAGAGACTTGTTTTTCTTTGTGTCTTCCTATAACAATTAAATTTAAATGTGAGTTTCATTGGAACGATTATCACAAAAAAACTCAAAAATTTTGACACCTAGTTTTCTTACTAGAGATTAGCAATAATCATCTTATAAGCACTAGTGGACTGCTAAGTTGCAAAAGATAATCCATAATAACAAGTGATATAAAAAACCCCACACCTAACTTAACCTTACACAGAAAAATTAGACTCAGTTTTCTGTACCATCTTCTTCCCAAAGGCACTAGGGTTGGCATATGCCTCCATTTTTCCATAAACTGCAGAAGGAAAAGTGAATATCTTACTCCAACTAGCCCTGTTATATAATGTTGTAGCTTTGGGGGTATCTTAGATTCCTGTTTAAAGTCAGCAAAGAGCCTATTTGTGCCAATTAAGTTTCTCTTTTCCTATAGTAGCTCCCAAACTGACATGCTCCCTGTCCCACCCTTTTCAGAGAAGACGGTGTTGCTTGATTTTATGTAAACTTGACAGTAAAGAAATGCTCATTTCTTACTCATTATCTTTTACTTTGATTTCTCACCAGTAATATGCATGATCTTGAGCCAACCCAGTAAAGGCAGTCAGCATATTATTTGGTTATTTCTGTTTCTTGATATTGACTACACCTCAAAATGGAATATTAGCTGCTGAATGTCAATATATTTGATACCTATTGTCTATCTTTAGGAAAAGTTATGGAAATAGTACCTTTTACTTCAAAAAATTCTTTCTGGTGAGTTCCAGGGAGGGAAGCGTCATTTGTTGCAACAATATGTGTAACGAAACACAGTTTTTACAGAATGTGCCCTGTAGTTATCACCTTTATTTTATATTTTGAAGGAAAAAAGTCTATTAACATAATGAATTGGGCTTTTTAATAGTAAAATATTACTGTGGAATAGAAGTGCTAACAATACAGCAAAACGTATTAGAAAAATAGAGGCTTATGTTAACCAGAACTTATTAGGGTCTTAATTATAATGAAATTACAATCAGAGATTGCTAATGAAGCTAAGGCACTTAGATTTCAATAAGTGTACTTGAAAAAAGCAGTATTTTCACCATGCTGGATTTACTCAAAAAACGAAAAAGAACACAGATGTGGCCAATAATCACTATGGTGATACCAGATGTTTCTATATCTGTATTACTTTTGTACCGTGTAGTTACTATGTACTCTGTTAGGTTTACTTTTTCCTTTTTTATTATTTTCTTTGTTGGTTTTGGTTTTTTGGGGTTTTTGTTTTATTTTGTTTTTCTCTAAAATTAAGGTTAGGACTTCTGGCTTTTCAGACACCTTATATTAAAAAGACAAAGGTTCTTGTACCTGAAATCTTGAATCTCCATGTCCTGAACTTCAGGGTTGGGCTTCTTTCCATTTCAAACAAAATTTGGGTAAAGGTACGGTACCTGTGCAGAATCTTTTCACTGAGAAACCTTTTTACTAAAAAACCTTTTTGCTACCAAGCTGAACATTTGGGGATTTGAAGGGAGCAGGGTCAGAAGGCAAGCACATCCAAAGCTCATTTATTCATCATTGCAAAGTCACCTGGGAGTGCCTTTTTCCCCTGTCCCTTTTAAAGAAGAAGGCATTATAGCAAAGCATGGGGTTGATAGAGCAAAAGGAAGCAAGAGAATTGTTGCACTGCAGTTTTCACAGCATGATTTAGGATGGTCCCTTCTGCCTTGGTTGCAAATGTCCTGAGTAAACATTGTTTGGAAAGACAAATTACAGCTGGTCGTATCTTAATTGTTTGCTGAGGATGAATATGTAACATTTTCTTAAATCTCTGTGTTATGAAAATGGTAATGATCAATCACTCAACCTCTCCTAGAGGCCAGATGTTAAGAAGCAGCCTTTATATTCACTTCTGTGCTTGTATGTGTTTGTATATCTATTTATGGTTATATCTACATATATGGAGATTTAAATTTATTCACGTGTGAATTACCATGGACTTTTGGATGAGTAGGTCAGGTTGTTTTAGCTGTCTTGAATCCGTGTGTTTAAATACAGACTACAGACTTCTGAATAAGGAAAAAGTAGTTTAATTAATTTAAGAAGTCTTTGGGTTTTGCTGAAAATAAATGTTCTGTTCGTAATACAGGTTTTGCAACTTTTCCATCTCAGTGTTCCCAGCCTTTTTATAACCTAGTTTCACCCTTGGGAAAATTGACAGTAATTCATTTTTCTTTGGGAAATTGGTAAATCCTTCCTTCCAAATCAGAAGCTTTAAAGGAGTAGTTTTAAGCCAGTTTGAGAAATTAACTGTATCATGCAATGCACTGCCTGCCTGCATTGCAGAAAAAAAAAAAGACCTTGTCAGCAGTCCTTGAAGGTGGAAAGAAGATAAAGTGACTTAGATGATGCTTGGAAAATGGCCTTTAAGAGTGTGTGATGATTTGACAGTGAAGGAGCTGTGAGAGCTTGTGGTTCCCTGGTTGTTTTTTGAAGAAAAAAAAAAAATAAAGGCAACTGCGTATCCCAAGTTATTTTGGAATACACTAGGAGTTAAGAAGAAATGTGTGCTGATTCTCAAGGGACTGTTGCCTGACTGGATGTTTTGAAGAGGGAAAAAGTAGACAGTTGAGATTTGAGTGATGTGATTGTCAGCAAAGCTGGGTACAACTGAAGTTGTGTTCAGATTAGGGAATTACTCTGGGGAGATAATGCACAGGGAATGACCATAGTCACTAAAGCCTATCCACCTGGAAAGATGCCAGAGTCTCTAAGAGACAGCATCCCAGGATGATAGTGTAAAACAACACTGAATTGAAAGATCCTCTGATGAGTGCAGAGACTGAAAAGAATTGACTTGCTGGCAAAACTTGTGTAAGAAGTGGTAATAAAATATAAAGCTTTTGTTTCTAACCCTGATCACATATAGCACCACCCCTTACACCTCTGGTATAAGGCAACAAAAACCACAAACTCCTACCAGGACACCCTTTATGTCTGAAGAAAGAAGAATTTGCTATTCAAGAATACTCCTGGTGGTTGATATTTCCATTTGCTTTGGGCAGGTGTATTGAAAGTGTTCAGAAATGTAGCACAGTCTAGGTAAGTCCCAGTACAGATTGGCTAGGAGGTGGGGTGCTGGCAGAGCTGTCAACGTGTGTGCTAATGTACCTTATCAGCTGGTGCTGTGACACAGCATCTGCTCGGGGTCAGTGCTGCTGTGACTTGGATGTATTGCACATCATAGGAGATACCTGTGTGCAGAGTGGGAAGACCAGAATTTATGAGGAAAGTGTAGCTTTTTATTTATGCTCCAAACCAGAAACAAATGGTAAATGTATAGACAGGTAAAGGGGAGGGTGGAAGTAAATGGATAATGCTCTTGGGTTCATGATGTGACTCTTGGGGATGGTGCTGTGCAGGGCCAGGAGTTGGACTTGGTGATCTTTGTGGGTCACTTTCAACTCATCTTTTTCTGGGATTCTGTGAAATAAGTGCAACTGCATAAAGCCTGCTCTACCTTTTAAGAATGCTGCTATTTTCATGTCCAGGTCAATATTCATTCTCCTACGTTAATGATCCTGGAAGTGAGTTAGTTCATTTTTATTGTTGATTGTGGTGTAATATTATCTAATCACCATTAATGAATGTGATAATGGGTCAGCAATTTTTCTGTTGCATATCTTGCTCAAGTTGCTTAGCAGTTGTGGGAAAATTAAACTGACTCAGTAAGGACAATCTAAGCAAATATGACCCTATTTTCATTAAATTTTAGAACACACACTGTGTGCAAAGTTTCCAATTGTAGCAGGATTCTTGCATACCCTCTACACCCTCTACTGTGCAGCAGAGATGAGTTTTGATACACACTAAGTTTATTTGGTTCTTATTTTAGATATGACAGTGATGGTTGGTGTCCACCTTTGCCAGTTCAGACCTACCTACATCAGGGCATGGAAGATGAGCTTGAAGAAGATGATGATCGTGTCCCCACACCTCCTGTCCGAGGAGTAGCTTCATCTCCTGCCATCTCCTTTGGGCAACAGTCGACTGCAACTCTCACGCCTTCCCCACGAGAGGAGATGCAGCCAATGCTTCAAGCTCACCTTGATGAGTTAACAAGGGCTTACCAGTTTGATATAGCAAAGCAGACATGGTAAATGTCATGGTTGAAGGGGTCACCTGTGATCAGGGAAATGAAATAATAATATTATTATTAATAATAACAACAATACTAAATTCCTTTTTGACATAAATAATGACCGTGTTCAACAGCATTTCAATTGTGTTTCCAAAGAAGTAAAATGGAGGAAGGAATAGCAAAACTCTACCCACAGCTGGAATACCTTACATATCTGTATGTGCTTTTCAAATCACATTTTTTAAATCACATTTTTTTTAATATGCTAAATTTTGTCTAAAAACATGTAAAAACAATATTCCTCCTACATTTTGCTAAGTAGTTAACACCCACCTCCTGACAGCTTTTGTACAGTTGAGAGTACTCTCTTCTCAGGCTAGGAGAAGACAGGAATTTTTTAGGATTTTCAAAAATAAGGTTGTAAATTCCTGATTAAAATTAATTATAGTTTCTTGAAATAGCAATATGGCAGCTTTTACACTGTGTAGCATGAGAATGAATTATTTACATCTCTGTATTTTGAACTACCATGAGAATTTCTGATTCATATGAAAAACCCAGAAACAGCAGAAAGCAAGTTGTTAGCATTTATAGGATGGATCTAGTGTTTCTCAGAGTGCTTTATGCCTGTTTAAAGGAAAAGCAAGCAAATACCACAGTAACATTTCCCCTGCAAAACAAACAGAAGCAATCTCTTCAGGGACTGAAAAAGAACTTGTCAACTGCACCAGGCTGGGGACATGGTGAAGGTCAGCTGCTTCCTGGATGTTCCCTGAGCAGCAGTTGTCCTTTTACAACTCTTCCACCCAGACAAAGCCCGCGACTCTCGGCGGAGCGGAGCAGAGCTGGTTACTGAATGGCACGCTGCCAGCAGAGGAGCAGCCTTTCTTCCCTGCTCAATAAAGCCACCAAGTTATTCAGCCTGAGCTCCCAGAAATACATCAGGCAGGTAGGCAGGCGGTGCCAAACCCAAGCCAGCTGTTTTCCCTGGGCACCGTGGAAGCCTCGGGGCTTGTCTGCAATCTGCACTCCATCAACAGGGTACCTCGGCCCCGCCGCAGCGCCAGGCACCGACCCCAGCCTGCCTGTGGGACAGACCCAAATCCCAGGCAGCAGCTAGACCTGGCCTGTTGAAGGTGCTGGCTTCTGAGCCAGCACACAGATGCACGCCCTGCCAGCACAGGCAGTGGCTGCTGCCTTGTGCAGCTGGTACCCTTCCTACGCCCTCCAAAGCTCCAAACCAGTGCAGGCACGGATAATGGAGCAGCACGCTGCACCAAAGCCTCGTGCAGCTGGCAGGAAAGCTCTTGTTCCCTTTTTGGGGAAATGAAAATTGATTGGGAAGTTTCATAATGTGCTTAGGATTATACAGATTTTAATGTCGCTCTTTTGCAAAGTCACAGTAATTGAGCCTGAAACTCCAAAAAGAAAAAAAATAACAAGGACATAACCTTTTTTCCATACCTTTTGGGCATTGGGCTAAATGCTGAGGGTGAATTTTACATACAAATGATTTTTATTACATTTTAATGTACTTACATTTTAATGGAATTTTTAAATATATTTTTGTTGTTTGGCTGGATATATGTCATGCTAGTCAAAGTTAGTAGAAAGTCCTCCATTGTTTTGACTGGGAAGGAATATTTTTTCAGTCTTCTTTTCACACAGTTAACCTGTCCATTGTAGAGACCAGGTAAAATTAAACAGCAAAATGAGACCTGTCTGGCTCTCAGGGTACTGTGGGAGCAGCAACTGAGAAATACAGACATCAGCCAACTAAGAATTTAAGAAAGAGCCCATTAGAGATTACTGGAAAAGTACATAATCATTATGGCCTTGATCCAGAAAATCACTTAAGTATATGCTTAACTATGGGTACATGAGAAATTGACTTCAATTGTTCTATCACAAGCTTAACATTAAACATATACTTAAGCATTTTGCTTGATTAGGAGCTAATCACACTGTTTATTGAGGGTTAGTTAGATGGTAGTGCCCTTTAGTGCCCCAGTGTTTTGAACACTTTGTTGAACACTAAAAACCTGGTGTCCAGGCAGAAAAGTGTTCAATAACTGTTAATCAGAATGGGTTTGTATGTCAGAAAGGAAGCACTTGTTCTGGAAATTAGATTCAGAATAAGCAATAAGTTACAACCTACACTGAGGTGGAGAAAGTTACCAGTGGTACATAACATTTACCATGACATTCTCATATCTGATAGATTTACATGATGAAAATTTAAAAAAAAAGGCTCATTGAATAAAGAGAATTCATTCATGCAGGCAGTAATTCAGTACAAAGTTTCCACGGAAAATGTATTATCGCTGGGAGCCAAACAGGTGACAATTGTAATTTCTTCAGTTTTACTGATGTCCAAGCAAGAGACCAGCAGAATCCTGGATCCCATCCAGAGTGCTGCCGATTCAAATCAGGTCATGGCACCTCATGTAGAGCCACCCAAGGATTCCCACGTGCCTAAGTTAGCAATTTCAAGTGTGGGACATGCTCTTGTGCCAAGGCCAGTCATGCCTGGGTCCTCTGGCACAGCTTACTGTGTACCTGTTGTGCTGTGGGGAATGCTGCTCTGAAAGCTTTTTTCTCAGAGACCAGGCAAATCATGAATCCCATGCTTGCCTTTGGCCATTTAGCTATCTTGTGGGGGCTTTTTTGTCTTCTTTTTCTGGTTTTTTTTTTTTTTTTTTTTTTTTTTTTTTTTTTTTTTTTTTTGCTTTATGTAATTGCTGCATGCAGTAATTTCACACATGCATGCCCTAATACTGCTGCAATTAAATCAATTAAACTTCTTGGAATAAAGCAAAATGAAAAGGCCTCGCTGATGATGCGTTCATTGGACTTGAAAATTTCTTCTGTCCTACTGGCCATTTCCTCCTCTTTAGGGTGACTTTTGCTTCAGGCACTGCATCTGTTTAAGCGGAAGGAGTGAGATTTAACTTTGGTTCAATGTGTGATTTGCAAGGGGGAATATTGGGTGAGACACTTATGTGCTGGGCTGGGATTCAAAATTCTGCTTTTCCATGGGTTTCCTACCTGATTTATGTAGCCTCTGTGTCTATTGCTCTCCATCTGTGAGAAGACACTCCTGACCTTCCCCATCCTAGAGGATTTTATCTTTATTCTTTTTATTTAAGACTGGAAAGTTAGAAGCACTCTGGTATTAGAAGCTGAATTTTCTTGAGTTTGGCCTAACCAAGCAAGTTTTGTAAATATACTTCAGGACTTGTTGAAAGGTTTGTGTTTTATTGACCATGGGCTGCAAAATCTCATCCATTCTGATAACTTTTCCTGTTTCTTTGTGTAGGCACATCCAAAGCAATACACAACCTCCTCAGGCTCCAGTTCCTCCCCTAGGATACGTATCTGGAAACCTTATTTCAGATTTGGAAACAGATGTTCCAGATGACGATGATGATGAGGATGATATTGAAGAAGAAACTGTAGAAATCAGTAGACCACTAAGAGGTCTAGAGCATACTCCAGGCTCCAGTATGGACAATCTAGACAGCTCTGTGACAGGTAACCAAACACAGTGACACCAACTTGTTACTACCAGTAAAATACATCACCATTTGGACACTTTCGAAGTGAAAATTTATTCCACTCGATTTTTGTAACATTTAAAATGTTAATACTAAACACTAAAGTTAAAGAAGGATTTGGAAATACTTTGCTTTGCTGAAAAATGATAAGGAAATTCATGAATTTTAAAAGGCTTTAAAAGACTTGAAAGGAAATTTAGTTATATCCTGGCTTTCATGAAAGGTTCATTCTAGTAGAGAAGCAAGGCAGTTACATAAAAAGGAGGGGAAGACCTCATCTTAGAAATATATATTTCATAAATCAGGAGGAGCATAAAAATGTTATCTGAAAACACTTTAAGATATTCTGCTGGGCAAATGCTTTCCGAGATGAACACAAGGAAGTTAAAGACTTCAGAGTAAGTGTAGCTAGATCTGCACAACATTTATTTCTAGAGTAAACACAACATTTATGTTGGAAAATATGCATTTTGAACATTGTACTGCTGGATTTATCAATTGCTCCCTTTTAGAGAATCTGTTTAATAATTCTGACCCTCCTTCCCTCACTTCTCCCTGTCCTCTGCATGCTTTGGAAAATTACATCATCATCAAAGGGGACGTAGAAAGAGGACCTGCTGTAATAAACTAATGCATGGAATCTGAATGAATTAAATTTCTGTTGCTTAAATGTAGGCAGTGAAAGACATTGTTTTTGAAAACAGATTTTTATGGACATCATGTATTATTTGTAAACATCAGTGTAGTTCTTTTTAGGTTGAGCCAGGGCCTCTGTATAGTGTACTGTGCCCATAGTGTGGAGGTGTGCTGGAGACCCAAATATCCCCAGAATCACAGTGTTAGTGGGTGCTGCTTCAGTTTTTGATCTCAGCAGAAGAACACTGATTGTTGGTTTTGCCTTAAGGGAGACTTGTTCAGAACAGCTTCCTACCATAGCACCTCTGAGTTCCTGCTTTGTCTGGACCTCTGAAATACCAAGGCTTTTGCACTCAAAGATTGCTCTTCTGAAAACACTGCAGGAATGACAGTGATGGAGCATCAATACTATCATTTTCTTCCTTTCCCTTGATGAATGAAATAGTCTGTAGCTTAATCCCACCTTCCAGGTTTTCCTTCACGCTAGAGCCAGGAAGCTAGCCAATCTAATTAAGATTTAAGAATTGTATTTCTTGTGCTTTGATTTGAAATCCAGATGCAACTGAAGGCCATAGAGTTAAAGTTTAAATCCCTGAATTGAGAAGGTTAACTTTTTAGTGCATGTGTATGTTAACTCACTTTTCTTGCATTTCTAGTGTAATCTCCTTCAAGCTATAATTCTGCATATTTTTGCATATCTCACTAATGGCTCAGAGCCCTTTCTGTTAGCAATACACTAGGAGTTTTGCCTTGTTGGACCGGCATTAATTAATTTTAAAAAGCAGGTTGGTATACATTTTGCTTTTGGTAGATATTAATATGGCAATGCTTATGTATCTGTAAATCAGAAAATGAATGTTTCCACATTTGCATCTTCATCTAATAGTTTGGACCACCCTCCCTAGAGCAAATAAGAAATAGTTGCATTCCTGCTCCAATTTTAAATTTTATTAAAATGTATACTTTTATTAATAACCTTAAAACTTGTAATAATATTTTAAAATCTTGTTTGATTTTTGGCATGTTAAATGTCTAATTACTCGAATTTTAAAGGCTTCTTGATGTTTTGGAAGGAATTGGGCAGAACTTCATAATGTAGACTGGCAGTATACTTAAGGTGATCTAAATTCACTTCCATTCATCACCACCATAAACTTCATGTGGCCTCATCCAGCTGAAATTTAAGGTTTTTCTCTTGCTGTTTCTTTTGCTTGTTTAATTACTAGCTGGATAATTCCTTGCCTCTGGTTCACTGCATGGCAAGGTGTATGCTGGCACTGCAGGAAGGGAATGTGTAGCTGGAGGGGAAGTAAAATTATAGACTGCCCCTATAGCACTGAGCCAACATTTAGATTGACTTAATTAGGGAATGATAGCTTCACTGAAGTACACCTAGTGTGTTAGCCTAAAGGGTCTGTAAGATGGCAAAATCTCCAAATAACAAATCTACTTCTGTCTTCCTCGATGGGTAAAGCCTTGAATTTAGAAGAGTCTGTATTTGGCTTTGTTGCTTTTTTTCTAAGGGTGGAAAGAAATTGCCTATTATACTTAGGCAAATTTTGTTTTTCAAAGGAGAATTTTAATTTTTGCTTATCTGTTTCTGTAAACTCTTCTAGGCTGTTTGATGGTGTTAAGGAGTATATAGCAAATTGCTTCAGTTGTTCCCAAGCTGTTTCTCATTCTTCAATTTGATTGCTTTTAAAATACGGTAGAACAACTAAATTGTTCTTTCTTGTGCTGAGAATATATCAGTTACTTCTTTTCACAGAGCCTTTGGTGACTTCAGCCAGCATTTTTCTAGGAATTTGTTGGTCACGTTTTCACTTCTCTAAACGTATTTGAAAATGGAGGCAAGTGAGAACAGCTGACCCAGATGAAGCAATATTTCTGTTCATTCTGAAGTGCCCTGGGAGTTCAGTGTTTGTGAGAAATCTAAATTGACATCCCTTGGTCCAGACTTTCTGCAAACAGAGTTGCTGTGGTGGGAGCAGGGCGAGGTTCCTCACCCTGTAGTGTTAGCAAGCCTCAAAGACAGCCACTCTTGGGCTGAAATGGGGCTTTGTTCTTCATGGCTGAGCTGAGAACAAGGATTTCCTGCAGTGCCAAATGTGGGATTCTCCGAGGGGAAGCATTGGCACTGCGTGAGCCAAAGCACAAACTCCTGAATCCCTCTGACACCACAGTGCTGCTCCTTTAAACTGTTTAAAAGTCAAGTTGTCTTCCAGGCTCTTGAGTTTTAGTCACAGCTAACTGAAGATGCAGACAAGGATTTAATCTGCACTATTAAGCTTTTCTCTTTGCAGGTGGCAGAGACATAATGTTGACGTGTATAATAAAGTGAAAAGAAAGGAGGAGTGCACAGGAACTGTACCTTAAAGTTCTTCAGATATCACAAAGAGAATTCAAGGAGGGAGGTTTAAATTTGCACGTCTGTGGGATGTAATATGAAATTAAAGCCAAAGTTTTGCTTCATTCCCAGTATGGTTTGTTAGGATATTGAGTCACTGAATCTGCTTTAAAATAAAAGAGAAAGAAAGAACCAAAAAACACTGGTAAAATTTTTCTTCACTTGACTTTTAATTCATAGTTATTTAGGGTTATTTTTTGCTTTCAGAGACACAATGAAATATGTTTTTTTCTTTCTCTTAAGCTTAATGTTTGCCTTTATAACAAATTGCTGTACAGAGTTATGGCATGAGTGGCCACAAAGAGTCTGTTGCATTATTCTACTTTAATAGACTTAATTAATTGGGTATGATGACTATAGAAGAAATTAATTTGCTTCTCACTGAAATCACTAAGAGCAAGCCTAGGTTTTTTAAGGTCAAAGTGTTATGATTTGGGGGTTTTCTTTGCCCTCCCCTTACCTCCTCCTCCTCCTGCAGCACGAGTGAAGCTGGTAATGAGAGCTGTGTATCTTCAGTCCTGGTGCATTTTGACTGAAGGGAGAGTTTGACTCATTAACTAGCATGGAAAACAGAGCAAGACCTCTTCTATCTAACTGATATAAACTGATATAAACAGAGAGATGTTTTTTTGCAAACAGTGCCTCAACAAATGGGTTACATTCTTTTTTTTTCAATAGAATTATATAGATCTAAATCATAAAAATCTCTTCAGATTGTGTAGTTCAGCAAGGAGGAATATCCCTTATTTGACATGTTTTGGTCTTGATTAAAAGACTCACAGATCACTGTCTGTATGGAAAAAGTTGATAATTCACTGTGTCTGAGCACAAATGGAATAATTCTTGAAAACTGCACAATATTATTTTCATGAACGATATTTTACCATGGCAGAGCTCAATATTTGTATTGATTTGCTTAGGGATACCTATTGCAAAAGATTCTGTTTTATAAGCAGTTAGACAGATTGCATTTAATAGGAAGAATGTGCTTCATGGATTAAATATGTGCTCAGAAAATAGGAAACTGCTACTTTTTGTATCTCATAAAAATGGTAATGCAACAATTAGCAGGGTCATATTATAAAGCACAGACTTTACTCTAGCTTAATGGATCTAGGGATATGCATTCATCAGCAACGATAGATTTAGCATAAAATGACATGTAAATGAATTGATGACTGATCATAAATTAATTTTAGTGCTGAAGAAGTAATAGAGAAACAGCAAGTTGCCACTTTATCATAGTATTTTACTGCTCAGCAACATTTGAGCAACTACTTAATGTTCTGTGTGCATTTCTTCTCTAACAGCTTGAATAAATTTGAGATTTTTTGTGCCTTTCAGCAATATGGAAACAAAAAAAATCTAGAAGGATGGAATGCAAACAGAAATAAATTTGGCTAAGTGACATAAATTCATTTTTCATTAGATGTTTATGAAGGACATTAATTATCATTGGGCCTGTGAAGTGCTGAATATCTATGTATGTTTTTTCCTCCTTCTTTTTTTAGTGTTTTCTGCCCAAAAATAAAACATTTAAAGCTTAGAGGTTTATTCCAGGTGTATACATTTAAGTATATGGGCATTTATGGTGAAGGAAAGTAAAAAATAAAGTCTAGGTTTTGGAAGTGTGATCATATTTAGATTCTGCATTCAAACACTTCTATTATTCTTCTTTATTTTGATGGTATAATGACTATTATCCCTTCTCTTCTATCACTTCCACCAAAATCAGTGGGCATTCTTGCTGTGTAATCATGACAGTGGTCAGACATACCCAAGAGAAGATAATATGTTCATCCTGTACAAAGGCTAAAAGAATTCTGTAACTGATTTCAGCTGAAGTAGCATCAGTCCCCAAGGACATCACCCACACTTCAGAAACCTAAGCAGTCTATCCCTGTTCCATTAAAAATCTGCAGAGGAGCAGGGAC